ATCCCCTTGAACATACTGTGGGGAACAGAGAGTATAGTTCCCTAAGATCGGAAAAGGAGGATCCTCCGACCAGGCGAGGTGATCGTGCCTGGCGGGCTTTCTGCCCAACAGTTGTTCGTTGGGTTTTTCTATCCGTGTTTATTCGCTTGTAAACTTTGCATGTGCGATGTAGGATTCTTGTGACGTCATCAGTTGACATGTGGCATGCGTCGCCACATCACTCCCTCCCAAGACCGGAGGTCGATTCCGCTGAGACTGCTGTCGATGCTTGAGATGAGTGGCGCCAGAGCCGAGAGAGAGTGTAGAACGTCCCTAGTTCCAGTGGGTCGGAACCGTGCCGCTGAGTGCCCAGTGAGTCGGGTCAGCGGTGCAGGGTGAAACTCCAGTGAGTCGGAGAGATGAGTTCGCAGTGTCCCACGGTGGGTCGGGGAAGAGATGCTGCGAGGGTAGGTGCGTAGTGGCCGGCATCTGCGTTGACGGGAGGAGATGTCCTTCAGAACCGTGTGCAGAAGTGCTGTGCCTAGACGCTGCTGAGGCCGTAGGGAAGAACCAGGCTGCACAACTTCGTTGCAGGCGATGATTGTCCCTGATGAGGCCGAGGATGCTGGTTGGCTGCGACTTGATTACCGCTCAGCGGAGAAGTGATGAATGAGAGGGATGGCGATACGGATGACGGTGCTAATCTGCTCCGTGAAGTGAAGGTTGTTTCCAATCACGTCGGGGTCACCACTTTAGGGAACAGAGTGTATAGTTCCCTAAGATCGGAAAAGGAGGATCCTCCGACCAGGCGAGGTGATCGTGCCTGGCGGGCTTTCTGCCCAACAGTTGTTCGTTGGGTTTTTCTATCCGTGTTTATTCGCTTGTAAACTTTGCATGTGCGATGTAGGATTCTTGTGACGTCATCAGTTGACATGTGGCATGCGTCGCCACAATACAAAAAAAATTCATCAAAATCGGTGCAGTCGTTTGAGAGAAATTCAGTGACATACACACTCACAGAAGAATTATACCTCTATATATAAAGATATATATAATATTACACCTAGATGGGACGACGTGCTCCATCGTAGACTGCATCATCGCTTACCACCAGGCGAGATAGTGGTCAAAAGTAGCCCATTAAATAGGTAAAAAAAACTAAAGAGCTACTGGTTCGAATTTCAAAAATCTTTTCTGCTTGATAGATCATTAAATTTATATAGGATTGCGTTATGCATAAAACATCACGGTACAATCAATGGCAAACGAACAAACAGCAAGTGACAACGAAAATAGTCCATAAAATCAAAATTGATAATTAAAACATGTGCAAATAAGACTCAAAATCGTCTGCTATAAAATCAACCTACTTACAAGCAAGTCGGTTATGTTATAACTAGAGTTCAGTTAGGAGGACAATTCAATGATAATGAACTACGTGATACTACATCTACATATAGAGCTATACAAAACCAACTTATCATGGCCTCTCCTTGTGTGATCTTATAGTGCATTCGATGTTCAGTTTATACTGGTTATGTATAGCTTAATGTGTGCGTGACATAGCGGCTGCACTGGATTTGAGCATACTTTCTTATTCGGAATAAGTCATGCGGGAAATTAGTCGCATCGACATTTTTTTTTATTATTTTCTTGTATAATATTGTGAATATAAATCACCTGGAATTGGCAATCATGTTACATGATTATTGCCATTCGAATGTTCTCCAAAAATGGATAAACCACAAATCTTTAATATTTATATTATATAAAATCAAAATGACTGCCTCATTGGCTGTGTGGTCGCAAGTGCGACTGCCGGGCAAGGGGTCTCGGGTTCGATTCCCGGGTCCGGCAAATTATTACTGGGTTTGTAAAAAACCTCAGTAGTAGCACAGAATCTGGAAATGTGCCTGGTATATGGCAATAGGCTTACCCCCTATTACATGGGACTCATAACATAAATAGTTAAAAGTGGGTGTTACATTGTAGTGGCATAATGTGCACCTCTGCCTACCCCTTCGGGGATAAAAGGCGAGATGTTATGTTATGTTAAACCTTTGTCCCAATGTACGAATACGCTCTTATAGTTGTCTAGTTAAATATAGTATAGTCGAAGTTTAGTGACCAGTTGAAGTATTAAACTGTCAAACACCAAGCGGTCACCGGTGACCGCGACCCATTGTTCTTTAATTGTGTCTATAAAACTGGTACTCGACGCGTTAATGGGCATTTCCATTTTATTTTTAACTAGCTTTTACCCGCGGCTTCGCTCGCGTCACTAAAGCATAAAAAGTAACCTATGTGACATATATCAATACACACAGCGCCATCTATACCAATACTTTTGTTTTCTCTCGGGAATATCAAATTTTTCCGGGATAAAAAGTACCCTATTATTTAATCCAGACTTCTAACTTTACGCCTGCAAAAATTCAAAGCAATCGGTTTTCTAGTTATGGCGTGAAAGCGGAACAAACACACAAACAAACAAACTCACTTTCATTGCATGCATACTTGGATTGCATCGAATTTTAAAATAAGGTACTCCTATCCATAAACAAAATTTAGTAGAAAATATAATGAACCGTAAAAAGAGAAAATAGGAAGTGTTTAGAGGAAGGCAAACAATGAAAACAATGATAAATAATTTATTACAAAACGCAATGACCGAAGCTAATTTCAAGAAAGTCGATGATTTCATTGTCACGTGCGAATTTTGTATCGAATTCGTTTGTATCGGATTAGTTTTTGCCGATCAAGTGTTAGTGACAGCTAATGTAGAAGATAGCCATGATTATCTAATGAAAAATAACAACATACAGCTGAATTGACAATCTCCACCTTCTTGATAAGTCGATCAAAAAATGAATTATGCGAGGACACTCCTTTTTATCCCCGAAGGGGTAAGCAAAGGCGCATATTACGGCATTTAAAGCCACTATACAATGTAACACCCACTTTTCACTATTTATGTTGTGTGTCCCATGTAATAGGGGGTCAGCCTATTGCCGTATACCGGGTACAATCCCAGACTATGTGCTACAATTGAGGTTTTTTTAAAAACCCAGTAATTCTTTGTCGGACCCGTGAATCGAACCCTCTGACCTGTGCGACCACTCGGCCAACGTGCCAGTCTACTACTTATATTAATATCTACATTCTTATATAATAACTACTTATATTAACACGTTAACCGCCGCGTAGGTCACCGGTGACCTACGTTAGAGGAGAATTTACCTTCAGCAGTTTTCTGTCGTCAGTCAAAGGGTTAATAACAAAATGGTTTTTGTACTAGGATAGATTGGTAAACGGGCAGACGGGTCACCTGATAGTAAGCAGTCGGCAAAGAACATGGATACCTACAACACCAGTGGAGTTATAAGTCTGTTGCTGGCCTATAGAAGCTTAGGGATTTGGGGATTAGAGAGATTGGAGAGGGGAGGAATTGATCCAGTAACCTCACTCACACGTTAAAATAACGCAAGCATTGTTTCATACCGGTCTTCTGTGAAGCCGTGTTTGATTCCATTCGACTCAAAATTGTTCACATAAGCATAGATACTTTATATTATAATTTAAGTAGATTGAACACTTATCTTCCTATACATTACCTATCTTTGATGTCTCCAAACACACTCAATTATTTCTTCGAACGAGCTGATGTGATTGCTCTCACGTTAAACACAATTTACTTTGATGCTTAAATAGAGGTATATGAGGAAGGAATAAATCGAAAATGGCGTAACTTAATTGCCCTAAAATGATGCCGAAATCGACAAAAAGAAATGCGCAAAGGTATGAATATACTTACTACCAAACTGTACATTATACACTCAGTGTATAAATCGATTGTTTCTGTATAACATAACATAACATCACGCCTTTTTATCCCCGAAGTAGTATAAGTAGTATACATAAAAACCATCCTTAAGACTCACTCTATCTTTAAAAAAAACCTCATCAAAATCTGTTGCGTAGTTTTAAAGATCTAAGCATACATAGGGACAGACAGACGGCGAAGCGACTTTGTTTTATACTATGTAGTGATAAGTCAGCATTATTAATCAGACAGCGTTAAATCAATTCACCAGACCATAATAATAAAGATTTGTAACTGCAAGACAAAAAAGAGCCCTTTGATCCCTTATTTGTCAAAATATATAGACTCAAGTCATACTTGAATTGAAATAGTTTTCAAAAGGATTCTGACTAAAGGTATACTTATTATTGCTTGTCTACGATAATGCTACTTGATATTCTAGAGAGGATCTTTTTTTTAAACGTTGCCCCACACTAGGATTTTCTCTTGTGTCGTGGGTGCGTTTACAAACATACAAGTTCACACAACAACAATCTGTGGATCACACAAGAAGTTGTTCCGTGCGGGAATCGAACCCGCGACACATTGCGCAGCAGCTGGTTGCCCAGCCATCACGCCAACCGTGCAGTCTTAAAGTAGTACCAATTTAAAACCCATTAAAATATTTCAAAATAGTGATATTCTCATATACTGAGACCACGTTTGTAATTATAAATGACTACTTTCACCCGGTTTCATCAGCTCTGTTCGGTTCCTATTGATCGCTGCGTGATGTTTTATAGCTTATAGTCTTTCTCGATAGGTGTCATATCCTACACTAAAATAATTATGCGAGTCGTTCCAGATCGATTGGCGTGTTCATAGAAACATATAAACTCCTAAGCTTTATACAAAAGTATATTATCTATATTTAAAAAAAGTAATAAAGATAAGTCCACCTTTCAGCACAATTTAACTAAATTAAAAAGTAATTTTAGTTTTGTACTGATCTTACTTTTTTAAGACTACACATTAAGCTATGCAAAACCAGTTTATCATAGTCTTGGTTTGTATAATCGATCTGCACATCTAAAGATCATTTTAAACTGGGTCTGCATAGCTTGAAAAGCAACCGTACTTACTCCGTCATCACGATATAAGCAATTATATTTTTCACGCATCTCATAATAGATTTTTTTCCCTCAGATCATAATTAAAGATGTTGAGTCAACCGCGATGGCTGATGTTGGTGGTAGCAGCTATGCTGACGCTGCAGGCGAAGGGTGATGGTGGCATCAGGCTCCCTGATCAGCCACCCAAAGAACAAACTGAAGGACGGTCTTTAAACTTCGGAGGGGATCCTGGCCGATCGGTAAATATACATAAAAATCTATAATTGTCAAAGACTGACTAGGTATAAATACAATACAAATATTTGGTTTTAGACCTATAGAAAATTTAAATGAAAACATTCAAACTTAGACTTACTAATGAGGAGATTTTCTAAAGTAATCACTAATAATTTGCATAATTATAGGGATAGTTTCTACATAAAATTGACGAAGAAGTAATCACTACAGTCAATAATTTCGAATAGAATTTTGTTGCCTCACCTAAGTGCAAAACTCAACGTATTTTTGCTCACCATGAGTAAAGAACATTTATTTCTGACGTCATCTAACAATTTTTTTTATATTCTAGCCTCAAGCTCAAGGTCGTGGTCTCCTGGACTGGTTGGGTCTAGGTGAAGACCAGGACCCCTACATTCAGCAGGCCACGCAGCAGTGCATCAATGGAGACCTGGCTGACTGCTTCAAGGCTCAGGCTCTGCGATCTTTTGACGACTTCTTTGATAAGCAGGCTTACCAGTAAGTAGATTGTACTTTTGATTAATCATCGTCAAATGCTGTGTGATTACGGCAGAGTTCAAGGTTTACTCTTGAATCCAATTCCGATTGAACGACATTGGTACTGTAAAGTTTAGTACTCTTAAGTTTCAACACTAGCGTCCATTGCATGATTGAACTAAATGGTATTGAGTTTGGTTTTATATTCCGTACTCTTAATGCTATTTGCAGCTACTATAGGGGTTATACAGTTTTGATATTGATTAGTTGCAAGAGTAAGCACCCAAGTAGTCTTAGGGTGTTATCACACCAATCGATCGATTCCATGGATTGACATCAGTCGATTCCATTGATCGACATCAGTCGATTCCATCGATCGACATTAGTCGATGTTGATCGATTGGTGTAGTAGCTTAGACTAATTAATCGATCGGTTGCCGGTCGATAGCATAATATCACAAAATTAAATCCAAACGTAATATACAAAAAAATAGTAAAAAATCTCAACTGAATATTGAAACTGCGAATTTCCAATTTCATTTTTCGCTTCCACAATTCGATTGGAAGTCTGCGATACATTTTTTCGTTAGATTAAACCGAAACTATTGATATTGTGTTACCGCAAACACTTTTTGTGGTTTCAATTCGTGCCCAGAACGTAATACAGTGATATATTCTGTATTTTTCAGAGTATAAAAATTATTCCATGGGCCTTTTATTTAACTACGAATTCAATGACAAGCTTTATATAATATGTAAATATCCAAATCCGTCATTCATGAAAGAGTAACAGCCATTAATCCGTACATATATACATTCAAAAGTAGACTGCCTCGTTGACCAAGTGGTCGCAAGTGCGACTGCTGGGCAAGGGGTCTCGGGTTCGATTCCCGGGTCGGGCAAAGTATTACTGGGTTTTAAAAAAATTCTCAGTAGTAGCACGGAGTCTGGAATTGTGCCCGGTATATGGCAATAGGCTCACCCCCTATTACATGGGACTCATAACATAAATAGTGAAAAGTAGGTGTTACATTGTACAGTGGCATAATGTACACCTCTGCCTACCCTTTCAGGGATAAAAGGCGTGATGTTATGTATATATACATTCCTCAAAAATTTTCACATTTTTTATATTAGTAGGATCGACTCATTAATAATATCTTACAAACGCAAACGCTAGGATTCCACTCCATATACAATCTTCATCTAGAATTTAATAATAATAATAGCCTTTATTAACAATCTTACATTACATTTTCTTTTATCTTATTATGACACCGGTACGATAAGATTGTCTCGCTTCCTGGCGTAGGCCTCCCCAAGAACTCGCCATCGCGAGCGGTCTAGCGCGTCGCGCCTCCAGGTTGGTCCAGCAATAGCTTTAATGTCGTCCTCCCATCTGCGACATTGTCTCCCTTTGCGCCTTTTGTACTGTCTCGGACACCATTCTGTTACATCTCTTGCCCATTTTTCTCTTTTATTCCTAATTAAATGGCCTGCCCATTTCCATTTAAGTTTTTTTATATGTTGGGTGATATCTATAATTTTTGTTTGTTTTCTTATGCTTTCTAATCTTATTCTGTCTTTTATTTTAATATTGAGGATGCTTCTTTCCATACTATGTTGACAGGATTCTAGTTTGCGCATATAATTACTAGTTAGACTCCATGTCTGGCATCCGTATGTCATGACAGGCAAGATACATGAGTCGAATATTTTTTGCTTGGCTTTAACTGGTATTTGTGGGTTTTTCATAATCTCTTTAAGAGACCAGTATCTCTTCCATGCTAGAGTTATTCTGTTGTTTATTTCTTTTCCTGTTAGGTTCCTTGGAGATATGATTTGTCCTAAGTAAGTATATTCTTCTACGTAATCTATAATGGTATCATTGACAACAATAGGAGTGGCAGCAAGATTAGTCATTACTTTGGTTTTGGCAGTATTCATTGAAAGTCCCACTTGATTACTTTGGTAAACAAGCTGTTCCAACATCATCTGCAACTGTTTCGGGTTGTCAGAGACTAGTATAAGATCGTCGGCAAACCGCAGATGCGTTAGTTGTACTCCGTTGATATTTAGCCCATAGTTATCCCAGTCAAGGTGTCTGAATATGTGTTCCAAAACAGCCGAGAACAACTTGGGTGACAAGGGATCACCCTGTCTCACTCCTCTCTTAATGGGAAAATGTTCTCCATCTCTTTCAGTTCTCACTTTTGCTTTCATGTCTTTGTAAATATTCATGATGAGGCGCAAGTATTTATTGTTTACTCCTTGTTTTCCTAAAGCCTCCCATATTTTTGCATGTTTTAATGAGTCGAATGCCTTGTTATAATCTACAAATGCTAAATAGAATGTAATACCGTACTCGTTACACTTTTCAACAACTTGTTTTATTGTGTGGATATGATCTATTGTGGAAAAATCACTGCGAAAACCTGCTTGTTCTTTGGGTTGGTTTTCATCCAAGATCTTTGTTAAGCGATGCAAAAGTACTTTTGAGAATATTTTATATAGATTAGACATGAGGCTGATCGGTCTATAATTGGCTATATCATCTTTTTTCCCTTTTTTATGTAGTAATATTATTGTTGATGTAGTCCATTGCTTAGGTATAATTTCTGTACATAGAATCTCGTTGAATATGTTTGTCATAATGCTTAATATTGCTTCAGATGTTTTCAACAGTAGTTCGTTTGATATACCATCTTCTCCTGGTGCTTTTCCGTTTTTTGCGATTTGATAGCTCTATCGATTTCATCTTTCAGGAACTCAGGAACATCTTCCTCATAGGCTTCCTGAACTGTTAATGATTTAGATTCGTCTCTCGTTTCTAGATCATTATAAAGCATGCGGTAGTATTCTGTAGCTACATTTAAAATTTCTAATCTGTCTGTAAGTCTTTTCTTGGTTACAAGGTGCGTCATAGACTCTATCCAATTTGTATTCTCGCTTAGTTCCATCAGTGCCTTTTTCACTCCACCTAGTTTTTCGATATGGTAGTTGATCAAGTTAGTTCTTGTCGTATGTCTGTGTCTACGTATGTGTTTATTTATTTCTTTGCTAATTCTTGTTATGTCTTGTTTGTATCTTTTCCTATCAATAAATAAATGTTTTCTTTCCTTAATTAAATTTCTTGCTTCAAGTCCCAGTTTATCTTTGATTTGTTTGTTAATTTTAATTTTCTTTTCAGTATCTTTCAATTCTTTTTCCAGAGCATCATATTTTATTTGAGCTCCTTTCAAGTTGATTATAGACTTTATACTTTCAGACAAAGATTGTATGATGGTATCTGCGAGTGGGCAATTAAATGGTAGTTCTATACGCTTTCCTGTTACGCTCTTCCTTGATTTTTTTGGTTCAGTAACGTATAACTGGGCTCTGAGCATTCTATGATCGGTATTATAATTAAGTTGATTGACAATTTCTACGTTTACAAATAGTTTCGGTTTACTTGTAAGTATATAATCAATTTCGTTTTTTGTTATTCCGCTGGGTGACATCCATGTCCATTTTCTGTTGTGGTTCCTGTTGTAGTAAGTGTTCATTATATGTAAGTTATTTTTCAGAGCAAAATTCACCAGCCTTTGTCCATTGTCATTCCTTTTTCCAGTTATGTATGGTCCTAGTATTTTATCTTCATTCAGCTCCCTCTTACCTATTTGGCCATTAAAATCACCTACTATGATTATTGTTTTGTTTAGGTTTGGTATAATTTCATTTAGTTCATTGTAAAACTTAATTTTTGTTTCTTCTTTTGCGATCTCGGTCGGAGCATATGTCTGCACTATTGATGCTGGTGTTTTGTGCCCCGGGAATTTAATGTCTAAAATTGCAATTCTGTCTGAAATTCCTTTAAATCTTATTATATAGTTTTTGAGATATTTTTTTACCATAAAACCTACTCCGTATAAGCCAGCTGATATGTTTTTGTAGTATAATATATAGTTTTCGTGATCTTCTATTTTTTCGTCGGCTCTTCGTACTTCGCTTAGACCTATTATATCCCAGTTCACTGTTTCTAATGCATTTTCCAGCTCAGTGATATATTCTGTATTTTTCAGAGTATAAAAATTATTCCATGGGCCTTTTATTTAACTACGAATTCAATGACAAGCTTTATATAATATGTAAATATCCAAATCCGTCATTCATGAAAGAGTAACAGTCATTAATCCGTACATATATACATTCAAAAGTAGACTGCCTCGTTGACCAAGTGGTCGCAAGTGCGACTGCTGGGCAAGGGGTCTCGGGTTCGATTCCCGGGTCGGGCAAAGTATTACTGGGTTTTAAAAAAATTCTCAGTAGTAGCACGGAGTCTGGAATTGTGCCCGGTATATGGCAATAGGCTCACCCCCTATTACATGGGACTCATAACATAAATAGTGAAAAGTAGGTGTTACATTGTACAGTGGCATAATGTACACCTCTGCCTACCCTTTCAGGGATAAAAGGCGTGATGTTATGTATATATACATTCCTCAAAAATTTTCACATTTTTTATATTAGTAGGATCGACTCATTAATAATATCTTACAAACGCAAACGCTAGGATTCCACTCCATATACAATCTTCATCTAGAATTTAATATAACCCAAATAAATGGGTTTCCCAGCTTCTCTGCGCAATATTCTACATAATAAATAAGACTAACTCAGTAAATTAGAATACATTCTAAGTAAACGTATATAAATTTAAACTTAGACATTTTAAATATTTTATTAAAGAAGGGCCAAATTAAAAGTACTCTTAACCGGTAGCATGCATGAAAAGATTGATGACTGTTGATGAAGCGAAAGAGGTATGCACGACATAGCGATTGACGTTCCATAGTGTCTGATAGGAGACAGGCTATGTATCTATGTAACCTATTTTGAGACCATTAGAATTTTAATCTTCTGTAAAGACCAATAATTATTCTATTAAATAATCTATAGGAATCTATACGAAACGAGTAAAAAACTAATACGGAACGCGTAAATAGCTTTACAACAGGACTGACCGACACATACTAACACTTCATTTTATGGGACTTTCTCATATTGTTCTGATTGAAACAAATATTCTATTATTTGTTTGTAAAATATTCTAGCAATGGGCTAGTGCTGTAAGGACCGCGACTCGAGCTATCGCGCTCGGAACACGGCATTTTAGCTGAACACTGGCCTTTTTACACCGTATTTGTACACGGTTCTGTTTATTAAAACGACTAGCTTTTACCCGCGGCTTCGCTCGCGTTACAAAAGAATAAAAAGTAGCCAATGTGACATATACCAATACACACAGCGCCATCTATACCAATACTTTTGTTTTCCCTCGGGAATCTCAATTTATTTGGGATAAAAAGTACCCTATTATTTAATCCGGACTTCTAGCTTTACGCCTACAAAAATTCAAAGCAATCGGTTTATTAGTTACGGCGAGAAAGCGGAACAAACAAACAAACTCATTTTCCCATTTATAATATTAGTAAGGATTTGTATTGTATTTTGTAATTTCTGTAACGTGTCTAATAAACAGTTTTTCTAACCTTCTTTCTTTCAGTTGACTTTGACGTCATTAAAAACCAAATTAATTTATTTGCAGGTTATCAGAAAACGCAGTCCTGGTGAAGGTGGACTCGCAAGCCCGTGCGTTGTCCCGGGAGCCTCCACAGCTGGACTCGCAGCCTCGCAGTGAGGACTCGGACTGGGAGGCACTCGTCAAATACGGCATGAGGAAAATTGAAAGGTAAATAAAAATATAGTAGAATAGTATCTATTATCCGATATAATAATTCGTTTTATAAAAGCTTCAAAAAAAGGAGGGATGATAAAATTGATATACTAAAACCGTAATTCTGTCATTAATTTCCCGAAAACCGCATCAAAATCAGTTCCGTCAGTGGCTAGATAATCGTGCATCAACTATGTCAAAATGAGGACCTCCTTGTTTAAGTCTGTTAAAATACCGATTTCGGTACTCACGTGGAATACCGAGAAAAATTCTACTAGTTTTGGGTCACAGAGAGACTCTTTATCATGAGCAGCATTCTCATGCATCGCTGCGTCCATGCTTCTCAATATTTTACGTGAGAAAACCGGTGTATTAAATTAATAAAGTATGAAACGTTATATAGAATCACCTTTCTACGACACAATTGGATGCAGAAAGCATGGCTTATAATGTAGTATGTCTCTAGTTATTATAAAAGTATTACCCGAACCCCCAAATCGTGAAAAGTCAATTGAGTGAAACTGAGCCGAGCTGGAGTAGCCTTATTTACGAACTATAAACGCAACGTAAATTAATCTTTGTTCTTTTTTTAAATTGAATCAAATCAAACTTTTGATCGCACTATTCCCAAACAAGGAGTATAGTTCCTACTTCGAATAGTTTCCTGGCACCGCAAAACCATTTCATTGCCAAACTGTATAAGACAATTTAGACATAATTTGCATGTTACAAGCTCTTTCATTATAGATACGCTATTTATAAGATGGGGTGGTATTGAAGCTACACACGGCTACCCGTCAAGGTATACAAAACCAGAATATCGTGGTCTCGGTTTATATGATCTGTCCGCACATTCGACACTCAGTTTATACGGGTATTTAATTAGTCTTGTATACTTAGTTTACTTTTTGAAAGTGAAATATTTTACTATTATATAAAACTGAAGAGTTTATTTGTTTATTTGAACGGGTTAAGGTACATAATCGCTTACCACCATCTCGCCAAGCCGAGATGGTGGCCAAATGTCAACTTATCAAGTCTTAAAAAAAATGCTGTCTTATTTGAATAATTATTTTTCTGTTAGATAATAATATTATATTTATCAAGGAAGGCTATAGGCTACAAATATAACGCTGCTATTAATAGAAGCCGATCAAAACGGGTAAATCCCGCAGAAGTAGCTATGCCCAAATAATTTTGTTTCTCCAATAGCGATGTTAATCAGTAATCGCTAATACAACTGATGAGCAAGCTCTGATCTTGGCAAATCTTTCTTTTAAAGCGGAGGCATTTTTAGGAACTGTATTTTTTATGGGACAAGCCGGTAAACGACCAGATGGATCACCTGATGCTAAGCAATAGGCGTCGATCTTGGAGATCACCAGAAGCGTTACAAGTGCGTTACCAGCCTTTTGGGGATTAGGAATTTGAGAATTGTTAGGGATTCAGGGATTGAGAAGATTTTAGAAGGGGGGAGAGGTAATAGGGCCTCAAATAACCGTACTCATATGACGAAACACAACGCAATTGTTATTTCACGTCGGTTCGGTCCGGTCGAGCCGGCCCATTCGTGCTGAAGAATGGCTCTCCCACACTTAAGAATCGAATTGAGTAGGTATCGGGCTAATGATGATACTGATGATGAGAACAAAACTTTGTCCTATTAATCATACTTAACTCTTCACTTTTATTTCCAGATTTTTAAGATCAACAGCTCTAGAGATGCAGCTGGATGAGGAAGTGACATCTCGAGGTGTTATTGCTCCTCGTTTCATTGAACAAATTGCTGATGAAGTGGATATCATTGAGGATAAAAAGGCACCTTTCCGTAAGTCATTATTGTGCTTAATTCTTTTTTAATTTCTTTGAAATTATAAATTAAGGGCGTAGTATTAGTTTCTTTTTAAGGTATACCCTAAAAATTTGGTACTTATTTAATTTGCGTAGGTAATCTACAAGTTATTCTTACCTTAACTTTAACAAGGCTTATAATTTCTAATTATAAGTTTTCAACCAACCCCCATTGAGCAAGCGTGGTGATTAATGCTCAAACCTTCTCCATGCGAGAAGAGGCTTTTGGTCAACAATGGCCACTTGTAGGCTGTTGATGTGATGAGAACTTTAACAACCCTTGATAAATTACGTTTGAAAAAAACAACATCAACCGCCTTTTTTGAAGAAGGTTAACTAATGTACACACGGCCACACATCAATCTATACAAAACCAGTTTATCCTGGTGTCGCGTCGCATCATGTTACCACACATTTAACGTTCAGTTTATACTGGATATACAAAGCTCGATGTGTTGCCGTGTGCACTAAAACATTTTTCTAAGTGTGACAAAAACTTTTCTGAAAACATCAAATTCGGTTTAAGTAATCCGGAGATAATCGTGCACAAACATACATACATACAGGTAAAAGTGAGCACCTCCTTCTTTTTTGAAGTTGGTTAATACGTAGGTATCCCTTGCACGAGTATTTTAATAGATACTAAAATGAATTTAGTACTCAAATGCCTGTTTAATAAATGGCCGAAATTTACAGTAATGGTACCTCTCCTGTTTAATTTAAACCCTAGATTTGATAAATACAGTACTATATTATAGGTGTTGAAACGAAAGCTATTCATTTAGAACATTATTCTTGAGTCCTGACTATTCTCATGAGAATTAATAAATGAGTAAAGTATTAATTGTTAGATTCTCGTGAGATTCGCCCCAGTTAATTTTGAAATGAACTGCTTTTACTAATTCTGCAAAAGTTAATTTGACTTTTCGATACTGCTTAATTAGAAATGTTATTTTGTATTAAGTAAAAACGCGGGTTACTCACGTGAATATACTGAGAAAAGCTCTACTAGTTTCGAACCACAGAGGGGTTCTTCCTCATGAGCAGCGTGCGCGGTCGCGGCGACGTCGCGCAGCTTTTTTACTTAATTTAGTATGTCTTACGATAGTTGTTATTTTGTATCTCAAGATTATATACACATTTTTACTATGTATTGAACTGTTGAATAATAGATTAAAATAAGCTATAAACATCACGCTACCACTAATGGTGGCCGAGCAAATTTTAATGAAACTGCGCAGAAGCAAGTTGTCATATCATGCTGCAAAAGTTTGTGACACTTTTACGAAAAACTACTGCACAGATTTGGATGAAATTTGGTACAGAGATAGCTAATAGTTTGGAATAACACTATGGCAATCTATCCTGGGGACGCAGATGAAGTCGCTGGCAGAAACTATGTAGATAAGCATGATTATCTTTGTCCTCCAGGTCAACATAAGTTGAAGAAGTTGATCATCCCTATGCTGCTGATTCTCAAGCTGTTCAAGCTGAAGCTGCTACTGTTCCTGCCCCTCATCCTCGGTCTCGCCAGCTTCAAGAAGTTCCTGGGATTCATGGCTCTTATCGTTCCTGGTACGTTCATATGTATCGATTTCTCGAAGTCAATAATTACTTAAACTATTCCTAACGATTTTGTTACAAAAACAATTGCTACTGCGTCGTTGGCCGAGTGGTCGCAAGTGCGACTGCCGGGCAAAGGGTCTCGGGTTCGATTCCCGAGTTGGGCAAAGTAAAAAATTCTCAGTAGTAGCACGGAGTCTGGAATTGTGCCCGGTATATGGCAATAGGCTCACCCCCTATTACATGGGACTCGTAACATAAATAGTGAAAAGTGGGTGTTACACTATACAGCGGCATAATGTGCACCTCTGCCTACCCCTTCGGGGATAAAAGGCGTGATGTTATGTTATGTTACAATTGCTAAGGACTGCTCTAAATAGCCACTAAATGATAATAAGCACAGCGGTAAGGGTTAAAGGCTTAAATGATCAAAAATAACCATCCTAAAAACTAGATATTACAATTAAATAAAAAGAAAAACTAACATAAGTTTTATGTGTTTAAGTTTTATTTATTTTTTTCATATAAAAAAACGTTGCCCCACACTAGGATTATCTCCTGTGTCGTGAGTGCGTTTACAAACATACAAGTTCACATACACATGACACCCAGACCCGGAACAACAATTTGTGGATTACACAAATTGTTGTTTCGTGCGGGAATCGAACCCGCGACACGCGGTTGCCCAGCCACCACACCAACCGTGCAGTCAAATTTATTAATATTTTCGTTGTATATCTTCCAGGTGTGATCGGTTACTTCAAGTTCTGCAAGCCCAATTCCTCGCCGTTCTCATCCAGCCACTTCTCTGGACCTCACTACAGCCCAGCTGGTATCGGGCTCGGACCGTACAGGGAGACTCCGCCCCAGTCTCATTATGCGTCTCATTATGATAGCTACCCTGTAAGTATTGTTATTATTATGTATTATGTCTTGACCAATTACGGGACCACAGGGTGGGCCATTTGGGGATGTACGAGGGCTAACTGCACAGAGGCTGTGGGCTACAACATGGGGTTCTTCAAGAGGGGAGTGAATAGGTTTATTAAGGGTCGGCGACGACGAAGACGCATGTAATGCCCCAAGTGTTGCAGGCGTACATAGGCCACGGTAACCGCTTACCATCAGGTACCCACCTGTGCTGTTTTGCCACCGTCGTGGTATAAATAAAACCCTTTAGACAACTTTGATCTAAATTTAATAGGACACAAACCGGCGACTATCCCTATATGCGCTATGAAAATGCACCCAAGAATAGGCCCAGGCTAATGTAGAACTACCTCTTTTTTTATCATCTACATAATGGAAAAAGAGGTAGGGCTATGGATGGGTTGCTGAGGACCGGTGGATTGGAAACTATGGAAATATTAATTATTAAACTGTCAAACACCGCGAGGACACCGGTGTTTGTGTGTGTAATGACATGATTGTGTCTATAATGACGGTACTCAAAGGGTTAATGATTTAAAACTATCTACCAGACGGACATTAAAATAAAAATTAAGCATCTACCCTATTCTACATATCTTCCATGATCACAAATTCCACCAAATAACGTTAGTACTTTCGTGAAACCCAAAAAACATATTTTTATCCCCACAGGACTCGTTTCTATTCAAAAGTAAACGTGAATACATGACAGCTTATTAAAAGTTGAACATTATTATTATATTTGGTATCATAATTCAGAACAAATCGACCCTCGTCTCTGAGAAAAATTTAAAAGAACAAAAATTACTTTGAAGCTCGGATTATACTGTCCTAAAATTTTTACAAGGGTAATTTTTACTGAATCTTTTTAAATAAAACGTGTCCCCGTAAAAAATTTAACTTGCAATATGCCAACTATTATTTATGAATGTGTGTGAAGTGGAATCTTGTTCAATTACATTTTGAAGCGAATATAACATATCATAACATAACATCACGCCTTTTATCCCGGAAGGGGATGGTACTCATAACATAAATTGTGAAAAGTAGGACGTGTTACATTGTACAGTGGCATTATGTGCACATCTGCCTACCCCTTCGAGGATAAAAGGAGTGGTGTTATGTTATGTTAAAAAAAAAGAATAAAAATGCAATCTTAAGACATAAAGACTGATAATTAATTATTAATTGAAAACTATAATTAAGACCCAACTAACTATTTTTAAAGCGCTTATTCAAACGCTTATTCAAAATTTGTCATTGTTTCAGGGTGGTCACAAATATGGATCTGGTGGTGGAATTTCCTTTAGGGAGCATGATGTCAGCCCCCAAGACCTGGCTTACCAAGGATGGGAGTACAGGAATAAACAAGGAGCTGAAGACATCAAGGCTGAACCAGCTTAAGACTGATCTTCTGATGTAAGCTTTACATTAGATAATAAGTATTTAGTCAAAGAAGTATTCGAGTTAATATGATCGTTAGGTCGTATCTGTACACAGTTGAACATAGGGCTCGTCATAATGTAGATACATGGTCTATTTACGACCAATCTCATCAAATTCCATTCAGTAGTTTTAGCTGAAACACTAAAAAAAATTATAAAGTTATCTCACTCAATGTCGTCTAATAAGACGATGATATTTTGAACACAAATTATTGGAATGGAATAAAATATTATTATATTATCTTAAAATATATTTTAATCTTATTATAGAATCGTTTCAAAGACGTACAATTTTCAATTAAAGATTCACTCGCATCTGTAATATAACATCAAAAGAAATATACAATTAAAATAAGTAGACGATTTATACGAATTATATATGGACAGACTGACATTAAGCTTTTTGGTAGATTTCCAACCTTATCATTTTGCAATTAAGTTGAAAATCCATGTTCCAATGACTGTGTGTCTAATATTATGTGGTTTCCTTATAAAAAATATTTTTTAATTTACTTATTGGTGTATTTATACGACGACGTATTGGTTTTGGTCCCGCTCTGCTCTTAATGTTTAGCTTGTGGAACATAGCCATAAATTGCCTCAGGATTACCATACGGCCTATATCCGTCCAACATAGAATGCACATTAATCTTGCATAAATAATGATTATCTGTTAACAGGCTACAAGCAAAACTGGCCTTACAAGTCACTATTTTACTATAAGTGTTTTATCCTCGTGTTGTTTTAGTATTTTTGACGCATTAATACTTCTTTAAAACATAATTGGTTTAAGCTTAATCAAATCGGTATACTATACAGCCTGTATAAACCACTTTATCATGGTCTCATTTTGTATGATCTTTCTATCTTTCAGTTTATGGTGGTAAGTTCCCCAATCATCAATACCTCAATCCCTAAACTCCAAATCCTCAAATCCCTAAAAACGGCAACGCATTTGTAAATCCTCTGGTCAACGGGTGGCCATGGGTGGCGCTGATTGCTTACCATCAAGTGATCCGTCTGCTCGTTTGCCATCCTAATACCATGAAAGAAACTTTGTCCCGTAACTTCAGACTTCTCAAACAAATGTCATTTTTTATACCACGACGGTGGAAAAAAAGCACACGGCCCACCTGATGGTAAGCGGTTACCGTGGCCTATGTACGCTTGCAACACTTGGGGCATTACATGCGTCTTGCCGATCCTTTAAAAACCTATTCACTGCCCTCTTGAAGAACCTCATGTTGTAGCCCACTGGGAAAACCACGGCAGGGACACAGTCATTGTCACAATTTACTTCTTTACCTCTTACCACCCGATACCTTGATTATTTCTTTCTACCTTCAGCCCTTCCATGATTTTCTAATCCTTCCTGTCTCTACGCTTCCTCGCATTCCTTTTGTATCCTTCTCTTATTATTATTCCCTTATTATTATTCGCTACCTCGTACTCAAATCAAATCAAATTTATTCGCATATACTCCTTATTTATCTGAATGTAACTTCTTTCTTTCATCCTCTTCAGACCGTTTTCACCAACCACTCTAAACCATATCTTAATTTAAATTTAGTTACTTACCGTGACGTAGCACCTATACTGACCCCCTATTTGTACAAATGGCGTCAAGTGTCATCTATCTTAGTCTTGCTTTCAGGGTAGGTTGGTAGAACAGACTTTAGAATATTAGTCAAAGATGTGCCGATATTGATAAAAATAGTTTTTCTAATACTTTAAATGTTTTATTATTTGCATTTAATTTATTTAAACTATCAATATTGGTGTTTATGTGTTACTAAGATGCATTCACATGTCGCAGAACCTAACGGGTAACCGGGGCTCCGGCTCGACGTGCAGGAGAAGGAACGGGGTGGTTTTTAGTCAGTATAATGACTGCTCCCGCCTCACCCAGGCGGGAGCAGTCATTCGATGATTTTTCCCCTTGCAAAAAATTATGCATTCACATTTGCCTGACGTGACGTGTCGTGACATTTTTAACGTAGTTGATTGGCTATGCAACTCATTATGATTGACGTTATTATGAACAGAGTCATTTGATTGGTGCATCCTTCGACAGGACACGTCACGTCATACAAATTTGAATGCGGCTTTATAATGAACTTAGTAATGAGGACGAGCAAAAGAGAGTGGTTTCAGTTATTGTCAATTGTTTTTTAGACATTTGTTCTGTTTTTGAACACCCTCTAGTTATAATGTAATAATAGGTTAGTAGACAGTGTATGAAAATTAAAAATGTAATTAGTCCGTCAGTTAGATAATGAAAAAATATTAGACACGTATTTTTTATTTCATCGTATAAGAAAATAATACTTAGATAAAACGGGGTTATGTTTAGGAGTGGGAGATCGCTACGTCACGCTACCCTATAAAATGTAGCAAATCATGACGTCACACGATGTTTCAAATATATATGTCGTCGAAAGTATTTAATTTTGTAAGAAAAGAAACAATACGTGTCTAATGTTTTAAAATAATCTATCAGACGGACATTAAAATTCAAAATTTAGAATACTACCCTATTATATGAGCATCAATTATATCAGTGTAATTTTATGTCAAAGTATAAATAAGTGCTAGTTTGTATTTAGTATAAAAATAATAATTAATGTTTGTTTTCCACGAAAACTAATTCGTGTTGTCCATGTAAATGTTATGTAATGATAGTATCTATCTTTCCATGTTTATGTCAAAATTGACATTTAAAAACTTACAATAAGTTAATTAATTTAATAATTATTAAAGTTTGTTAGCATGTAAGCGATGTAAATTATTTCTTGTTTAATATGTGAATACAGTGTTTTTATAATACATCGTATTGTTTTTTTACTGTTATATAGAATGTAATACATAATACATAGGTAGGTACAAAAATGTAAACCTGGCAGCAAAGCTGATACAAGTATTATTAACATAACATAACATCACGCCTTTTATCCCCGAAGGGGTAGGCAGAGGTGCACATTTTGGCACTTAATGCCACTGTAGAGTGTAACACTCACTTTTCACTATTTATGTTATGAGTCCCATGTAATAATAAGGGGGTGAGCCTATTGCCATATATCGGGCACATTTTCAGACTCCGTGGCTCAGTGGGCATTTATAGGCTGTTGATGATATTAGTTAGATAATAATAAGCTTCACCGTCTCCATTCTAAATGAAAAGAATTAAATAATAAATGAAGCTCCCACTCTAACATCTCATTTACATCATAAACGAAATCCCTTGGTTTAATAAAACACCATTCGTTTTCGTTGAATTCACAGAAATGACGTCACGAATCATAATTTCAATTAATATTATATAAACACGCATAATTAGATGTTCGTTAAGTTTGTTCAAAGGTTCGTTTGGATTGTAATTAAATGAGACGTTTCATTCATACCAAATGTATATTTCGTACTAGCTTATACTCGCGGCTTCGCTCGCGTCACAAAAGGATAAAAAGTAGCCTATGTGACATATACCAATACACACAGCGCCATCTATACCAATACTTTTGTTTTCCCTCGGGACATTCACATTTTTCCGGGATAAAAAGTACCCTATTATTTAATCCAGACTTCTAACTTTACGTCTGCAAAAATTCAAAGCAATCGATTTAGTAGTTACGGCGTGAAATCGGAACAAACAAACAAACTCACTTTCCGATTTATAATATTAGTAAGGATGAATGAGCGAGCTACTTCCGCACGTTTTCACATATTCTGCTCGGCTCCTATTGATTGTAGCGTGATGTTTCATATTCCTCACCCAAGCGGAAGAAGTCATACATGAAGTCATAGATGATTTTCCCACCTTAAAAAAATCCCACTCCTATTTCAGGCACGCGGAACGCGACCCTCCGTTACATGACGTCCAGAGCTCAACATAGGCCTTCTCAGTGCCTTCCAAATCAGTGGATTGGAAACATCTAAGCCCTTTCTATGCGCACTGAGCGACACTGAATTGTCAAATAAGACCTAAAGCCTCATTACTCAGAACTTTTAAATGAATCTGTTAAAAAAAATGCTAAAATCGTGAAACTAAACTGTCCTAGTCGATAACTACTGCAGTAACTGTAAACACTATTGTTCATATCGGCCATGTTGAAAAAAAAACAGTAGATATGGCCTTAGCCCACTTTCTTCAATCTCTAATGGTTTTATTATCATTTCTAAGATGAAACACAATTTTTAAAATGGCACTGAAACATGCATTTCGTTCAAACGCTGTATTTATGTACTGTTTAAAAAATGTTCCGTGTTTTGTGTCATTAAATTAATGATGAAAAATAAATGTCATAAATGTCGTGACTAATAAATAAAATATGTCTACGGATTTATTTTAATTTTTATTAAAGAGTGTTGGAAGTCTCGGCTACTAAAAAACTGTTCGCAATTATATAACTAATGACTTTTTAACGCTTAGAAAATAAGTATAGTAGCCAAGATATTATATTAAATAATTGCGAATATTAAAATCCTAACATTAATTACAAAAAACATCCTAAAAAAATGTCAAATAAGCATTTTTCTAAAAACGTTGTTTCGAAAGACTAGTTTTTTGATTGACAAATGTTTTATTATGAAAATGAAGTAGTGGCTAAGTGATCAAAGGCGTGTAAAAATTAAAAAGTAGTGAATTGCTGTGTAAAATGATTTCAAGTTCTGAACTGTGTGATTGGACTACATAGTGTTTGAAGACTTGGTTGGCATCGAAATGTTTAGTATCAAGGTGAGTTTAGATAATAGAGAATCTAGTAAATTACTTTTAAAGGAAAAATAATGTCATTAAGCGCGAGGCCCTGTCTTGCACATGCTGAACTGGTCCCATTTCACCGCAGACTTGGGACATTAGTAGATATATATAAACTTATGTGTAAAATCTGTCACCTGTTTTAGCGTGTGAAATGAAGTTTTTCTTTCTTTCTAAACTCTTTGAGTGCCGTCATTATATATAGACACAATTAAACTGTCAAACACCGCGAGGACACCTGTGACCGCAACCTATTGTTCTTTAATTGTGTCTATAATGACGGTACTCAAAGGGTTAAAGAACAATAGGTTGCGGTCACCGGTGACCGCGCGGTGTTTGACAGTTTAAGGCTTCCCTTGTCGCTTGTTGTATAATCTAACCAACCATTTTCTACTTCCAGCTAATTCCTGTTCTCCTGGTCATCGAGTTGAGGCTCTCGAGAAGTTCGCTGGTGATCGACCACTTTTCACAGAAATCTATATCCATATCTGACTACTGTCCCTCCTTTGAGTTCTGCAAAGAGGGAGCCCATGTCATGTGCGTGCATTATAACCCTGTGAGTAACTAAAGCACAAGAATTATATATTATAACTGTAGCCCTCTTCAGCTTCATCTATTTATGTATAACATAACATCACGCCTTTCATCCCCGAAGGGGTAGGCAGAAGTGCACACAGAAGTAACACCCACTTTTCACTATTTATGTTATGAGTCCCATGTAATATGGGGTGATCCTATTGCCATATACCACAATTCCAGACTCCGTGCTACTATTGAGATTTTTTTTTAAAAATCCCCCAGTTATACTTTGCCCGACCCGGGAATCTAACCCGAGACCCCTTGCCCGGCAGTCGCACTTGCGAAAACTCAGCCAATGAGGCAGTCCTCTTCAGTTTCATCTATTTATGTATAATTTTCTTAAATATGTATAAAAATAACGAATACCCCAAAAAACAGGAGGTCCAATTTGGTCAAGTACCTACTTAAGGAGCCATGCGCTTGATTTCGGTGATTACTTGTTATTTATTGTATTTCAGAACCGCGTGCTGGGCCCAAAATGCAATAATGGTCAAAATGCCAGCATCGATGAAGTGTTAGCTGTAGAATTGCTGGATGTGACTAATGAGTAAGTAAAGAATAATAGTTTGTGACTGTAAAACGTTATGTCAACCCTACTCCTACCGCGGTTGTAGGAACTACACATTTGACAGAGACCAAGTAAAAGCGCTCTCCTAAAAACCGTTTAAATTGGGATGATGAAAACGTATGAAAATTAAAAATATAATTAGTCCGTAAGGTAATGAAAAAATATTAGACTCGTTTTTTTTTTATTTTGTCGTACAATAAAACAATACTTAAATAAAACGAATCAAAGTTTAGGAGTGGGGGTAAAAACGTGGTGGCTAAAACGTCATTTGTACGTATAAAATGTATGTACATAGAAGTGACGTCACGTGATATTTCAAATCAATATATCATCGAACGTGTTCGTTTCTGTAGGAAAATAAAAAATACGTGTCTAATGATTTAAAATAATCTACCAGACGGACATTAAAATAAAAATTAGGCATTTACCCTATTGCGATATTCAGCAAGCGCACCAAGAAATTACGGCAAACCTTTTTAGCGTTCATGCACACGACCACCTCTCAGTTACGCTACGTCTTGCGTGAGCGATCTAGAAGTGAACACGATTATAAAGCAGTGAATTCAATGCGATACGAGCGACGCGATGGCTATGCCCCACGTACATTGCTGTGCATAATATGTCGCAAGGGTATGATAAAAACAGGAATATCGCCAAATCCCTAAAGGTAATCATCAAATTACAGAGGATGTCAAAATAACAACACGATATTATCATTTTAGCGTTTTCCCTAAGTAAATCTAGTGATTCGAACAAATCCCAAAATTGGTTCAGTGAAATGATAACACATCGCCACCGTATCGCCGCATCGAACGTGCCCACAGTCTGGTTGAAATTAATCAATACAGAGGGAAGAAACGCGTTGGCGGTGTCATGTGCATGAATGCTTATGTAGCGGAGGCTCGAAGTCCAATGTGAATTGTTACTAGCTGTACCTTAATCCCTGTCTCTTACTACACCAATAGTTTTACTTTGCCGTCACCTCACGGCGAAACATAGCTAATGCAATGACTGTACCATTGTAACTCGATTGTGACTCGTATGACATTATCGTAACTTCGTAAACTCGGAACAATCGAGTTACTTATGTAGGGCCTCGCAGAAATGAGGTGACGGTACCTCTTTAAATGTCATATTACCTATTCTTAGATTACACGATGAACATTGTGGTTCGGCAACCAGCTGTTATACAATATGTCGCAGGTTCGATTCCCGCGTCGGACATAAAGTGCTAACGGATTTTTCCGATTACACACCCCATACGCTTCGAAGAGTACGTATTTCACTACAATTTGTATCCGTGGCTCTTTACATTAACTTAATAATAATACCTTAAATTTCAGAATAAGGAGCAGAATAGCCAACGGCATAGAAATAGGCAAGGATGGACAGTTGTTGCCTCGGGGATATGGAATCTTTCGACTGGTACATTTCTTCTTTTTAATCTATTTTTTCTAGTAGTATTTTACTTTATAATATTGCCAAATTTTAAAATTAAAATTATTACAGGACTAAATATGTACAACTTAAGATAGAAAATGATACTCTTTTTCTGTTTGTTTTAATCTAAAAAAAAATTCTCCTGTGTTGTGGGTGCGTTTACTAACATACAAGTTCACTTAAACATGACACCCAGACCCGGAACAGCAATGTATGGATCATACAAAGAGTGATTTCATGCCGGAATCAAACCCGCGACACTTTGCACGGCAGTCAGTTACCCAGCGACCGCGAACATTGTCAAACTCAAACTCAAAAGCATTTATTTCAATTAAACCATAATTTAGTACTTTTGAAACGTCAAAGTATATAGTGTCCATATACAATTAAAATAACATAACAACTATAAAAAACCATACCTCAAAAAAGGTAAAATTGCACAAAATTACTCAGGCTGAAAATAATAATAAATTACAAGTACACGTTCGTACTCCTCGGGAGCAGATTACACATTCGTATACCCACATCCAAAAACACTAGTCTACTGCCTGTACAGCACAAAAGTTTACTAATAACCTTATGGATAAACTAACGTTAAAAGTATCTCACTGTCTTTTTCGATTTGGCTAAGGCATTCGATACGTTTGCGTTCCCTTATATTTTGTAAACGTGAAAGTCTGGGTGTCAGAAGTAATTAACTCCTAATCCTCAACTCATACTGTTCTGAATGATCATAACAAGTAGAAATTGGTGACTGCTTGAGTTTTAAGGCTACAAATTGCATACAGTGTTCCACAGGGCAGTATACTAGGTCCTGTAATGTTTTTAACCAATAATAGTACAGTCTAAAATTGTACCGTTATTGGTTAAATACGGCAATTGGGTTCCCTCCAATAGAATCATCCGTGTAATAACACGAGATGAGTCCCGTGTAATAAGCGCACAAAAAATTACATTTTAAGTAAAGAGTAGAAAGTAGTGACGTTATTGTTTTATTATGTTACAATATGTATGTTCCAGGATTGGGACAACGAGCTAGCAACTTTCGCACAAGTGCTGGCCAACCAATGTACCCTACGACATGACCTATGTCGATCCACCAGTAAGTACTAAACGTGTTTAGCATTTATTTTGCATTATAACTCCCGTGAGGCATTATAAAATTATATTTTACGATTCATTCACGTAACTGTTTCACGATGTAGCTCGACACATTTCAAGCCACGCTGTGGACTCATGAGCAAGTCGTAGTAAAATGAGTTAATTCGTCAAACATTATGTGAGTAAATCGTAAAGTATGATTCATTTTTTATACTTTAATTAAACATACTTAACTTTTTGTTCTTAAACATAGTTACGTCATTTAGGTATTATAAAGTATCTATTTGTTATAGACTGTTTCGTTGGCCGAGTGGTCGCAATTGCGACTGCCGAGCAAAGGGTCTCGGGTTCGATTCCCGGGTCGGGCAAAGTATTACTGGGCTTTTTCAAAAAATCTCAGTAGTAGCACGGAGTCTGGAATTGTGCCCGGTATATGGCAATAGGCTCACCCCCTATTACATGGGAACCATAACATAAATAGTGAAAAGTGGGTGTTACATTGTACAGTGGCATTAAATGCCGTAATGTACACCTCTGCCTACCCTTTCGGGAATAAAAGGCGTCGTGTTATGTTATATTATGCTATTTGTTATATGCCACATGAAAAAGGCAATCTTTAGTAACTTTTTCAGTAAGTAATAAGGTAGCATAAGTTTAGAGAAGCCAATTCAGAACACAATCCGAATCTGTTGCTATGAATCTAATACATAAGAATATAATAATACTAAGAATTTTGCAAACACAACCTTATTTTGCAACGAAGGCTTATTTATTGGAGACATGAACCAAAGCGCAAACTAACAATACCGCATTATTTTAAAAAGTAGTGATGAAACGTAATTTTAGTGATAGCATAACATAACATCACACCTTTTATCCCCATAGGGGTAGGCAGAGGTGCACATTATGCCACTGTACAATGTAACACTTACTTTTCACGATTTATATTATGAGTCCCATGTAATAGGGGGTAAGCCTATAGCCATATACAGGGCACAATTCCAGACACCGTGCTAGTATTGAGAATTTTTCAAAAACCCAGTAATACTTTGCCCGACCCGGGAATCGAACCCGAGACCCCATGCCCGGCAGTCGCACGTGTGACTTGCGATTAGTTTTAGTGATCTTTTATACTAATATTGTGTAACTTTTACCAGAGAGGTTCCCAGACCCTGGACAAGTGGTAAGTATTGAGAGATTCTCGTACCCAGATTGGAAAATCATAACATCTAAAAACAATAACCGTCCTGGGTTAACCGAAGAAAAACTGATGTCTGCTGTCATGGAGGCTTTCAAATATTGGTACAGGCAAAAAAGATTTGTTAACGAACAAATGGTGATGGTATATCCTGATTTTAATTTGTAAGTATTTGTTGTATTTAAACTTATAATTTCTGATATTTTAATCACTGGAGAGTTAAGTAGAGGCACACAATGTGTGGCCTCCAATGGAACGTCAATTTTCCACGAGCTTAACATAGCTGAGTCAAATGTGATAGGTGCTGAGTCTGTTGAAATATACCGATAAGGAAGGCTTAATCCCAGACTTCGTGCAGTTGCTAAGAATCGAACAGGAGATCAGCAACTTCAATCGGCAGTTTAACCCTTTGAGTACTGTCATTATAGACACAATTAAAGTACAATAGGTTGCGGTCACCGGTGTCCTCGCGGTGTTTGACAGTTTAAACGAAAGAACAACAAAAACTATATTTTGGAAAAACTTTGTTCGAAGACTTTGGGGAAAGCGTCAAATACACAATGAAATCCTAAAATGAAACAAGTTGTACTCAAACAAAATGTAGGTACCACAACGAAAGGCTTTCCCGAAAACTTGCACTGGATAAGACCACGAACTAGTTTATTTCTCGCATTTTATTGACACGGGTCGCCATAAATCAGGAACAACTTTTCCTGGATCAACTAACTTACTTAACAAAAAGGATTTATTTGCTACACATGGTCACCGATCGATGGCACTGACTTGCTGCGTATTTATATTTATTTATACAAATCGAACAATTCCATCGACAATGCGGTGGTTTCATGTTTCTTGTAAATTTTCTATTGTGCTCCTTTTATAAGGGTATGAACATCTTCTCCTGACATTCGGACAGAATATTTTTACTTTTTTCTTTCCAATCCTTCCAGATTTTAGTTAAAATCCAGACTGCAAGCTAATACTAAGAGTTTAAGAACAGTTTTAATACTTACTGCATTATTCAACGTGGTAATCTCTCTCTTTGCTTGGCAGTCGTGTTTGTGGCCACTGACGCAAACATTAAGAATCATATAAAGACATCTTGCACGTGGCAATAAAGTTTTGTTTTTTTCCTCGTTTTCAAAAAACGTTGCCCCACACTATATTTTTTTCCGGTGTCGTGGGTGCGTTTACAAACATAATTTCACATACACATGACACCGTGTATTTGTGGATTACACAAAGAGTTGCCCGTGCGGAATCGAACCGTCTACACACATGGCAGTCGGTTACCCAGCCACCGCATCAACCATGCAGTCAAATAGTATTATGCAAATACTGTTTAACCTGTGAAGTTTCAGAACGGAGATCTATGCAAGACACAATATATTTTCTATTATGTCTCATATACAAGGTGTTGTTATAAAGCCGCGTCATTTTCTAGGAGGTAACTCGGACATCGATTCTAAGTCCGAATCAATAAAAAAATTGTAGGTAAATATTTTCATTTTTCTGAAATTACGGTAATCAGTACGTGCGAAATACACGCCGCCGTCTTGTAACTAGCTTTATAACGCGGCTTAACACACACAAACTCAAACACGTAATTGATATTATTCCTAATTCCATAAAACTGCAATAAGAAACATTGCTATCGCTTATTCTGAAATACTGTCGAACTTAAACGATTTATTATAGCCGTATTTTTAACTATTGGCCCGAAATTTTCTCTAACATTGAACCTTTATGACTTCTGTGGCATGCCCCCGTGAAATGACACGGTTTCAAAACTACACCTTGTATATCACCAGGCAAGGGTCACACACGAGGTCATAGACAAGTCATTTCTTTGTATTCCAGGACTCCCCAGTTTGGACCAAATGGTCGTCTTTACCTGGAGTTAATAAACGGCGGAGCAACGCACATGGGCTGCGGTGTGAGTGCTTTCTCTGAGTATATTCCCTTCCAAAGTAAATTTGGTAATAATTTCAACGTAAGTATTGTTTTAAGATTTTTTCCGTTCATTGGTAGAAAAATAAAAACATTTCTACACGTTTTTTTTACCGATACTTAAACCAAAAACTGCAGTAATGAATTGTAGTATACGATACTTTTTCATTAAATTTATTTACCAAATTCAATTCGAAAATCAATAACTATAAATAATTACATATTGTGTCCTATAGATAAACATCAAAAATGAAAAGTCCAGTCACTGTTTACATGTTACCATTAGCTGATGGCGATACCTTAGCATGTATTGCCTGGACAGTCCACGCTACCATCAGTTAACTAGACAATATCTATAGTACAGAAGTCACTGTTTTAATTTTACCCTCACGCTCAGCTCATGACAGTTATATTAATTTTGAGGATTTCACACCAACGACTTGACAGCGTTTGGTCACCAACGAGCCTATTCACTAAGTTTTCGATCGTGCCATAAATAAAATAGTAAATTATGAATTCACGTAAACATCCTCATTAGGCAAAGCCAAATCGAAAACCACCATAAATATTCAGATTGCCTATTCTGATTTTTTTAGGGTCGCTTTCCATACGGGGATCCACAATTTGAAGTCAAAAATTGTTATTGGGAATTACGAATAACCACGTTAAAACCATACACTCACTAGGCTGCACCCACAGGACCCACTTAGTTTTTAGACAAATTTCCACGGTGCTTGGCAAATAAGATTCTCCCAGTTGTACAGTCTTTTTTTGCATTTATGCTTAATTTGTTCTACAGTAATTCACCGAGGGAAGTCGAAACTATCGTTTCTTTCTTCTCCTTTTATAATTTCCTTTTTATTTATTTTGTTGCGGGAACCAAGATAGATTCTTGTCCCTGGGACGCGCCGGACTACAGTGTTCCGGTCTTTTCATGATTCTACCTACTGCAAATCCTGGCTTATAGGAGTTGCAGTTATTTTAGGAGGTTCTGGCGACTTTGTCCCATCAAAAAAAAGATATTACTGTAAAATTTGTTTTGTTTCCAGTCTATCATATTGGTATGCAATTATTCTGCTAGATCCAAAAGAGGAGATATGGTATATAATACGAAGCCACCAACCCCAGGTCAAGGATACAGCTCCAAATGCGGTTGTCCTCCGGGGTCTAAGGAAGATGAGGATTGCCTCTGCAATTTAGTACCAATAGAAGCTAAACGTGAGTTATTGCGAGAATTTCAACTGACAAATACTTACAAAGTCCTAGACACCCACAACATTAGAGAATTTATCAGAGCGTTACCGGTTCATAGTGGGATTGAGGCAGTGTTAAATAACGCAAGGCCGTGATATTTCTCCGGTATAGCTAGCCCACTCAAAACTCTTCCACGTGAAATTAACTTTGCAAAAGTACATAAAACAAAGAATAAAATTCTGCCTAAAGTCAAAATTCTAGGTGCATGAACTCGCAGTAGAAACGAGTTTATAATAACGGAAAGGTGCCTGATCGTAGGTAAAGAAGTAAAATGCAACAGTCTTGATGGCAAGGGATGCGAGCCGACCTTGGTTCTATTGCCAATATTCACGACGGAAGATGCACCACCCGACAAATTATTTAAACGAGCAGACAGTATCAGAGACCCGATGAAGGATTTCATATTTGAAAGGTAAAAACTAAATATATAAATTTACAAAGTAACATACGAAGTAGTGTTCCTAAAACCTAAAATAATGTTGAGAGAAAATTTGAAAAAGAAATGAATTATTAAAGAAATTAATAATTGAAACTGAAAATACTAAAATTAATAAATAATGTATATTTTATAGTGTAATTTAAAGAAATAATTAAGACTTAGCGATAATAATTATAATCTAAATAAAAATAATAAGAAAAGATACAAAAACGATAGCACCAACTAAGACAACATAACATCATACAGATTAGTGTAACATCATTAGAGTCATGATGTTACACTTTTTAATATTCATGCAATGACATGCAACCCGACAGAGGCCATACAATGTGTTTTTTCCTGAAACTATTAGTTCTTTGTTTAAGATTTCTATTTTTTTAACAGAATGGACAACTCGACTGTCGCCCAAAGGATGAGACAATATCAAAATATGTTTGACGATTTTACTTCAAACTCTAAAGCAAAACAGGTAGGACTTGTAATAAAATTAACTTTAATGAGAAAAGATTGATGACGTTATTTTGCGAAAATCCATGCTTCACTAATAATTTTTTTATGGCATAAGTTGGTAAACGATCAGACGGATCATCTGATGGTATGCAATTGGCGTCGCCCATGGACACCTGGAACACCAGAGGCGTTATAAGTGCGTTACCGGTCTTTTGGGAATTGGGAATTTGAAGATTTTGGAGGATTCTGGGATTGGGGAGACTGTGGAGTAGGTAATTAGGCAAATTTCCCCAGTTGATAGTTTTTTATTGAATGTTTTTTTCCTGACACGATGGTAATGCGCATAGCATAGACTTCGCTCATCGTCCCCATAACGCGACTGTCCATGACAGACTCTTACCGGGTAAGACTACTGCGGTGTTCCTTTTCTACCTGTGACCATGACCCTGGTTACCCTTGCAGATTTAGCGCACCCTCCACCTCGACACAATGCTATATTTACGGCGTAATTTGCATCTATCGTACACACTGATTGCCGTCTCTTATCCCTATCGCTATCTCTTAAAAAATATTTAAATATATTTTCCTCGTTACAGAGTAACCTGCGACTAGATTCACCGAAATCTCATCCACCAAGAACAGCAGAGAAGAAAAAATCACCACATTCGTCTAATGTGTACGGTTTTAATTTCTAAATGTATATTTATAAAGATCATTATAGTATGAAAACTAACTTGGATATAAAAATGATAAATCAAAGATTGAAGGGATCTTGTATTATCATATAAGATGACATTTTCAAAATTAAAATACATTTTAAATGCCATAAGGTTATTGTGGCATCAGATACTGTTTATCAAACCACTTCTATTAAAAAACAGATCTTAATTCTCACTTGCACAAAGAGGGTAGTAGACAGTGTATGAAAATTAGAAACGTAATTAGTCTGTCAGTTAGATAATGAAAAAAATATTAGACGCGTATTTTTTTGTGGTATAAAAAACAATACTTAGATAAACGGAGTTAAGTTTAGGAGAGGTAGGTCGTTACGTCACGCTACCCTATAAAATGTAGCAAATCGTGACGTCACACGATGTTTCAAATCAATATGTCGTCGAAAGTATTTAATTTTATAAGAAATATACGTGTCTAATGTTTTAAAATAATCTACCAGACGAATATTAAAGTAAAATTTAGGATACTACCCTATTGCAGTAATTTCTGGCGCGAGATAGTTTTCATTAGCTTGATACTAGAGGTACAAATAACATAATTGATCGTAACATTATTTTACAGTATGTACAAAGTGCAAGTAGCACCACCTGCATTTATACCAACTGAAAATCCTCCTCTTCCCTCTCCTACTCGCCCAGCACTCCCACCGAGAATACCACCACCTCCACCGCCACCTCCACTACCACCTCCTCCTCTGCCGCCTCCACGTCGAGCTTACACTCACCACAAGACTCGTGCACCACCACCAATTCCACCACGACCACGACCACGCAAGCCATCCCACGCCCGTACTTCACCAAAACGAGACTACACACCAGCTCGAAGAGCACATGATTCACAACCTATAGATGCCACACGTTCTGATGATGAGTTCAACCCATCAAAGAAAGGATCACACAGAATATCCCAGAAACTATCTCACAAACAACTAACAAAGGTTTCAATTTCAATAAAAAATAATTATAAGTAATTTGTTATTTTTAAAATAAACTGACCAGTAATGTTTCCTTTTTCAGAAATCAAGTCTTTTCACAAAAGCAGCAAAATTCAACTTACCAGCTAGAAAAAACATAGTGTCATATTTAGAAACACCACAATCAGATGTACACGTGGATGACATAACAACTGAAACAATTTTAAAGACTGCTGAAGAAAAAGACATTAATTTCAATCAGTACTCGAAGAAAAAGAAGTACAATATGGATAATCGCACCCGGCTAGACAAGGTATTCAAAGATGAGAATGACAAAGACAACAAGCTACTGTCTCTTCTTAATACTTTGGAGAAAGAAGTGAAACATATTGCACTTGACGGCAAAGAAAAAGTATTGTTTGACGCAAAAATTAGAAAAATTTACGGATCTATCGTAGGCACCACTGACACAACATTACTTTCACCTATTACTACAAATGCTAATGATTTAGATATTGCTGAAATCGACATTGGTAACCCTAGAAGTAGAAAGTATAATAAAAATTTTAATGCAAATGGTTTCCGTAATACAAAAGAAAAACATGATGCTTACTTTCACAACAAATATAATCACAATTACAATTATAAATTTGACTCTGATGTGGAACAAAAATATATGGACGATTTTGAAAATAAATATATCGAAAATCTTGGTCGTAATAAATATAGTGAAAACAATGTAGATGGCAAATTTGATACAAGACATAAATATATTGAAAATGACCCAAAATATCATTACGATGACAGTTGGAACCGTAGGTATGACGGAACCTTACCGGTTCATAAGAATACATTAAAATACGAAGGTAAAGATTTCAATGAATTCAGAGACTTTAAACATAATTCCTTAACATCAATGGAAGATAATGCAATCAGACACAGTAATTTGATGAACTTTAGGAAAAGAGAATTTGCAAAAAGTGGCTATCATCGTCCAGACAGGGATGATCACAGAAGCAAAGAACCCAAGAGAAAGCACAGAGATGAAATAGAAATAAAAAGAAACAAAATCTATCATTACCGCGATGACGATATTGATGATCCGTTAAGTATAGAAAGAAGAAGATTTTTTCAAGAAAGACTAGACAATATTGAACGAAGGCTTCTCTCAAGAACAAGCGACGTAAGTATTGACAATTATTCCTATGGCTCGAAACTGCATTAGGCGGACGCCCGCGGATCACATACAAAAATGCACCACGACGGGCTTCAATCGCGTGAGCATATCATTATGAACAGGATTATTGGCTGTCGTTTCTTTTCGCTAGTCGTCTTTTTATTACGTAATATTATATTAAGCTTTCTATTAATACAAACGTAAATGCACACACATAAAATGGAATTAGCAACACATAACAACCCGTTGTCTCGCACATGAGTTTGGTCAACCAACGGTTGCCTATGGCAGGCGTCCGATTAAACGTGGTTTCATAGCTTTGCTTCTTATAAATTCGCAAAAATTGACCAACTACATAAATTAATATTTTATTTATCCCACCGCATGCACTAAAGCTTAACATCGAGTAGAAAGGCACCATATTTATCAATCGAGGTAGCAAAGAGGTGGTCGATTATAAAGATAATGTAAAACATATAAAAATTATCAATTTCAGCACAGAGGCAACAGAATACGTCGAATGAAACCAAGTTTGTCTAGAACAAGCTCCAAACCTGAAAGTTACATTCCGCATAGGGCAAGAATTTTACACTCTGTAATGTATGAATATTATTAAATGTTTTACCGATACGGTTTCATAATAATCCGAGTCGCACCAAAAGATTGCTGTGTTGTGTAAGTTAGAAATTAGGTATCAGTTTAGAGGGTATTTTTCCATTACGACACTAGACGCATTTTACTGACACATCTACACAGAACTTCAAAATTCATTCTTCTATCTGTCGTCAGGAAGAAAGGCAAATTTCAATTAACAAAGATGCAAAGAAACAAACGAACTGGCAAGCTAAATGGCTGGATATGAATGAAGGCATTGAAATACTACTTTAGTTTAACGATTATAATCATGTATATTTTTTTTATTTTTTTATGGCATAAAACGGTAAACGAGCAGACGGATCACCTGATGGTAAGCAATCGGCGTCGCCCATGAACACCTGGAACACCAGAGGCGTTACAAGTGCGTTACCGGCCTTTTGGGGATTAGGAGTTTGAGGATCGTTGGGGATTCAGGAATTGGGGAGATTGGGAAAGGGGAGAGTAATTGAGCCTCCGGTAACCTCACTCACACGACGAAACACAATGCAAGCGTTGCTTCACGTCGGTTTTCTGTGAGGCTGTGGTATCAGACCGGTCGAGCCGACCTATTCGTGCCGAAGCATGGCTCTCCCACACTTAAAAATGGCGGCAGAGGAAAGCAAATGAACGAATGATTGAATGTTTAAAATGTAATAATCAATATTTGAAACGTTTGTTGTTTAATTAACTTGAAATTAGTTTATAAATCATTAATTGTTTAATGTTTAGTAAATTACGATGTAAAAATATTGTGATTTCATTATTTAATACCCACACTACAAATTGTAAAATAATATTACTAGCCAGAATATAAATACCGTCACACACTCAACCGTCATACTGTTTGAGCTCTGATTATTGTAACTTTGTAAAATAAACTAAGTGAAACCTATTTTGAGTTTTACTATTATTTTAGACGAAAAATCCTTAGATGACCAGCATCAAGAATGTGGCGTCTACATTAATGACGTCACCATTTTAAACTGTCACACACCGCGAAGACACCGGTGACCACAACCTATTGTTCTTTAATTGTGTCTATAATGACGGTACTCAAAGGGTTAAGTATTACCACTGTCGACGTCGTCCTTCGGCATGTACTATTATATTAAGTTTATTTATTTTATTGATAAAAGTTTTATGAAATTATGTTATTACTTGTTAAGTATAAATATAGGTACTGCATCACCACCGATCGTTTTCCGACATGCTGCTCCCCGCCGCTTTATGCTCCACCATGTCCTCGGGGTAGTCCTCAATCCATCAGTCTAACATATCTCTTTTAATACTCAAATTATGACTGCACCACTGAAAGTTTGAAATGATATCCAGTAGTAGGTATCTACACTCTAAAAGTTCATTTTTGCTTTTTTATGTGTTGGGTTGACGTAGACACGTCTGCTTCCAATGTATGAGGGTGCGGGTTCGAAACCTACCAACGGAAATACCAATGTGACATCACTGACAAACGGTGAAGGCAAACATCATGAGGAAACCTGGGCTTATAATTTCTAATTATGAGTTTATAATCGCCAACCAAAATGAGCTAGCGTGGTGATGAATACTCAAACCTTCTCCGTGTGTGAAGAGGCTTTGCTCAGCAGTGGGCACTAATAGGATGTTGATGATGATGGCCACTAACTCAATTACCTGATGGTAAGCGATGATACGCCCTACGATTGAGCACGCCTGTCCATAAGCAACCTATTCACTCGGATCTTGAAGACACACAGATTATACCTAGCCTACCTATGATTAGAAACCTGTTCTAATCATAATTGAGTACTTCAAAAATGAATTGTTTCGACATTTTAATGCAATGTAGAGGAGGACATAGCCAGGAGCAGGGTAACTGTAAGGTATCTCCTTAGTAAGGACCAATATAGGTGGTAACCCTAGGCCATACCAATACATATGAGTAGTCTCTTTATGCGAGTATTCACTGCACAGGAAGAGGATCGCCAAAATAAAAACTAAATTGGAAGCTGAAGTACTAAGGAGGGTTTGCTAGAACCCACGCCGGTACAAAATCCAGAACTTTTTGCCTCCAATTGGCTTCCAGTTTTCGTAGAACAGGCCTAGCCTTGTGTTCCGTCCACAGTCATTTCATCTTGCTAATCCACTGAGCTGTAGCAGTAAGTTTCATTCCTTCGCTTGTCTCTTCCTCCTTCATAGCGAGCAGAATGACCTCGAGCTTTCTTATTCCCTATATAAGAGAAGAGACCATATTTCGGTTCCATAAGGCACCACTGATAAAAAAACAAAAAATATTGAATATCAATTTATTAAAAAAGTTGTCAGTGCCAAAAACTGATCTGAGAAATTACACTTAGTGCATAATTATGACGGATTCTCTGAGGAGGGAAGATAGAGAGAATTACATTACAATTATAATCAAAGAGATTGCTATCACAAATGTTAACATAATGACCCATTCGGAGTTAATGGGTCTTTAGAGGCAACACCTTAGTCTTAAAAACTAATTGCTAAATTAACCTATTCTTAGTCTATTGTGTAGTTATTTTTTGTTGAAAACCATTTACAATATAGATTGTTATAGTATAAGATTATGCTTAGTTTCTCTACACCTAGAACTTTATAGAAATCGATTCCGAAGTTTAATAATTCTTTAAGCAACGTATTGATCCCACTGAAAGCAGAATTATTGCAAAACTTTTAACTTTCAATATTTTCTTTTTATCAACAAATAATAACTACATTCTCATCTACTACCAGTACTTCTTATAATGAGCATTTACTACATTGTAATCTTTCTTTTCCGTCAAAAACTGCATTTCGTCCAAATCTTTCAAAATGAATAGATCTCTTGCTTGCCTCTTGTTTCTCTTGAAGTTCTTAAGCATTTGATGGAAAGGCTTCTGGTATCGTGGCAGCCTAGTGTTGTACTTCTTCATTCTCTTTCTCTGATTGGACTGTGTCGTCGTATCATCCTTTCTCTGTGCATAGTCATCTTGAGCGTACTCATTAGACTTCGGAACCACTGTTGCACTCGTCATCTTCATGATATACAGCTTCTTTATTTTATTCGACCGGTTCTTCTTTATAATCTTCTGTATAGTCCGTTTTGGCGATTTCTTTAGTGTTTTGCTTTTGGACTTCTTAGCTTCGTAGTATTTACTCATCGATGGTAGTCGAATCAGATTTTCTGCTTTGTCAATAAACGTAATGTTGTGTGGAGTCTGTGGAATAAAGATCAAAATGAATACTTATGAAATCAATATGTCATTTTAATAATAAAGTTTCCAAGTTCAGTCATCTTTATCAAATGCTCCAAAATATTTCTGGATGATAATAATTTCTGACTGAAGTAGAACTTTGTACGTGTTAAAGTTCAAATTCTTGATTGCATTCCTTAATGTAATCACAGTTCTAATTCAAGACCCTGTTGGACACAGCAGCTTAGATAACTAATGAGGCATAAATATTAATAGGTAGGTAATATTAATTCGGTAATAAAGAGGGGAGGGAAGCCAGGGAAACAATAAAGACATTCATTTTTAAAATATGTTACAAAAACCATAACAAATTATTATCATCCAAACAAAATCTCACACTTGCATATCAGAAAACAGAAGTGCTGTAAACCCAAAAGAACAAAACTAAAAAGCAAGAAGAACACCAAGCAAACACACACAAACCGCAAAGAAATGTTAAACAAAATAATATACTTTGCGGGGTCTCCAGAAGTGTTGTTGCCAAGGCTTGACCGCGGATGCCGATATCTAAGAGACAAAGCGCCAAAGAAAATGTTAATAACAACCATAATACACACACAGTAAAGGCACTACTTCAACCCAATAACTTGTCATTTAAATTTGAACATTAAATCGTATTTTGTATGATACATTTCATGAAATCAATCACAAGAAGACGGAAAGAAGGACTGCACGCCGTTGGCTTTTCCAAAGAAAACCGTCGCGCCGCAGCCGTGCCGTTACTATGAGCCATTTCCCACGATTGAAGCGATAATATTAATACTGCAGCGCCACGAAGAAACTAGCAAGTACAAATATTCTGTTCCAAAAACATGCTCACCTTATTTATTTTCTCATCCACTGTTCCGACCGCCAATCTGTGTTCATTTTCATGGTTTGAGGGAATCTGGAATAGAAGAATGAAGAATGAAGAAATTTCCTTATAATTAACAATATTTATACCTTCAACATCGTAATATCGGGTTTTTCTTTGCTATATGGGATAAGCCAGTAAACGTGCAGACGGCTCACCTGATGGTAAGCAATCGGCGCCGCCCATGAACACCAGCAACACCAGAGGCGTTACAAGTGCGTTACTGGCCTTTTGGGGATTAGAAATTTGAGGATTGTTGGCAATCCGGAGATTGGGGATGGGGGGATTGGGGTTCACACGCCGAAACACAACGCAAGCGTTGTTTCACGTCAGTTTTCTGTGAGGTCGTGGTATTACTCTGGTCGAACCGGCCCATTCGTGCCGAAGCATAGCTCTCTCACACTTAAAATCATCATTTCATCTGACCCTAGCCCCTTAGTGTGTAAAACATCGACATTCTTCATTTATTTTTTACTACTGCACTCTGTACTAGTGATTTTAGACACTAGATAATGAATTCCATACGAATATATCCATCCCTTAATTTTAAACGACTTATCTTTACTTTAGCAGCTCCTTGCAATCTTTAGTAGGTCAGTGCTGTTAACAATTTTAAAATATTATGTAGACCATTGTAATAAACATTTCATTCTCTCCTATATAGCATAGAAAAGTGATACCTGCGTGTACCTTCCAAAACCTACAACCAATTTTTCTCATTCCCAATATAAATTTTAATAACAAACATACCTTTTCAGTGGCACAAATAAAATTGATGAAAAATGATGAAATTAACAACGTTTGATACATTATATTCACACCTGAACTTTCGAATGAATACTGTTCTAAAAATGTAGAACTTTTATAAACTATCCTAGTCGATAACTACCGAAGTAACTGTAAACACCATTGTTCACAGCGGCCATGTTGAAAAAGAAAAATATGTACTAGAAAATGTAACGGATATGACCTTAGTCCGTTTTCTTCATTCCCTTATGGTTTTATTGTCATTTCTTAGACTAAACACGATTTTTAAATTGGCACAGAAACATACATCTCGTTTAAACACTGTATATAGTGCTACAATAAATACTGTTTAAAAAATGTTCCGTGTTTTGTGTCATTAAATAAATGACGAAACATAAATGTCATAAATGTCGTGACTAATAAATAAAATATGTCTACAGATTTATTTAAATTTATTTCGACATTTATTTTTATTAAATCGTGATAGAGTGTCGGTTATTACAAAACTTTTCTCAATTATATAACTAATAACTGTTTTATAGTTAGAAAATAAATATTTCATTATAAAATTCAAGTGAAATGAAATAGTTTAGATAATTAAAAAAAAAACAATGATCAACATTTAAAATCTGATAACACAAAAATTAAATTAAATAATACACATTTTGCTAAAAATATTATTTTGAAAGACTAATTTATTTTATAATAAATGTTTTTATGTAAATAAAATAGTGGCTTAGTGATCAAAGGCGTGTAAAATTAAAACGTAGTGAATTGCTGTGTAAAATGATTTCAAGTTCTGAGCTGTGTGATTGGACTACATAGTGTTTGAAGACTTGGTTGGCATCGAAATGTTTAGCATCAAGGTGAGTTGAGAATAATGAGTGTTGCTCAAAATTTTTCAGTCGATTATGTGGTTTAAACTTATGTGGTTTAAGGTCGTTATTAACTAGTAATGCATCCATACTAATATTACAAATACTAAATTGTATGTCTCTGTTTATTTGACATTCGTAAAACAGAACAAACTATCGACGCGATTTTTTAAGTGAAAATAGTTGAAAGGATGGTGAGTGACATACTGACATAGGGTACTTTTCATCTCTTTCTAACCCCCACTTCCCTAAAATGTTTGGGTGGAAGTTTGTACGGAGCATTTCGCAATTACCAAGGTAAAAAGCTGAATATTGGAATATGCGGACTATATATGACAAATGAAAATGCGCGTGCGGAACCGCGGGCGATAAGCTAGTGTTAAATATTGACATGAACGAGTACCTGGAACTATAAGGCTGGTGAAACACATATGGCAAAGAAATCCTTGCGTTTCAGAAGGCATTGCAGAAGTGCGTTTAACTCATTTAAGGAAATGTACAATTTTGACATCTTCACACATCTTATGATGTCATCTATATGTCTTATCGTCAAATGGTTAGAAATTTCTAAAATCATTAGATCGATTAGACCAAACGACAAGACAACATCACAGCTTCAAAAAAAGCACTAAAAAGCTGAAACATGAATGAATTGAAAATTAACTCGATGATACGTCATTAGCCTAATCTATAGCCATATTCATTTTTATGCAGTCGGTGTACTTCATATTTATGCACCGCTTTGGAAGTGCGATGCATTATAAAGCTAGAATGTGTTTACGATACTACTGAAGATTATATTTGTGATGCCATTTATCTAGAAAGGAATAAACAGGACCTCTATGAATAAACAGGAGCAGAGCAGTGACTAAACTCATAAGGTTGGCTGGTAAACACTGCCATTTCACAACTTATACGTTTCTGTCAAATTTCTCCATTACATCTTCAACTATATAGTATTGATGTTAAGTTGCAAATTCAATTACTAAATTTGACAGATGAGCAGTAGGTTGATCTCCTGGCCACTGGACGTAAATTGTTAAATAAACGATACTAACTAAACAACCGTTATCTACTTCCAGCTAATTCCTGTTCTCCTGGTCGTCGAGTTGAGGCTCTCGAGAAGTTCGCTGGTGATCGACAACTTTTCACAGAAGTCTATATTCCTGTCTGACTACTGTCCCTCCTTTGAGTTCTGCAGAGAGGGAGCCCATGTCATGTGCGTGCATTATAACCCTGTGAGTAACTGTAATCTTTCTCCTAACCTTTCTTCAATTGTACGATACCGATTACAAACAAATACAACGCACCTGTGTACTATAAAGTGGAATGAGGCGGGAGGGAGTGTCAGACTCTTACTGACTAAAAACCACCCCGTTCCTACTCCTGCCCTTCGAGCCGGAGCCCCTGTTACCCGTTAAGTCCTCCGCGTCTCCGATAAGCCAAGGATACACTAGAGGACAAATGTCCTGCGACACGTGTCGCCAGTGACGTTGGGTGAAGTAGCGCGACGTTGCCGGACTTTGGTCGACATGTCTGGCAACATCAACGTCACTGTGGACATAAGTTGCGCTTTGTCAGCGTATATATCAGGCGATATCGGCCAGCTTCGTTCAACATGTCACCGATACATGTCTTGGGGCATTTTGTCCCCTAGTGTATGTATCCTTGGCTTAAATATATCCGTGTCAACTCCTCTGTGCTTTGTCTCTTAATTTGCATGTAGATAAATCCTTTTTTTTCTTTCTGTCTGATTTCTATAGCTGGTCTAGTTTCCATAATAATATTAAATGTAATCCCAATTTCATCTTCTTGTTCTTACTATACTTATAACTGCTGTCTAGTTTGTTGAGTGGTCGATAACACGACTACCAAGCAAGGGATCTCGGGGTCGTTCTTATTTGCAAGGGTCAGGTTACCTCAATCCGTAGTTAGATCTTCAATAATGTAGACGTCTCCAGTGGTAGTAACAGTTTTAGAAAGATTTTGTTTAGACAACTTTAATTGGTTCATAACATAGTTTCTAACGATAACAATATACTATGTGCCTCTAGTAGTTTAGTTTAGTAACATACTCATGTTCATGTTTGCTTTATTACGTAAAATATTCCATTGTTTCATAAGAATTTGTAACAATGGAGTAATTGCCGTACACATTTCTGTATATTTTACATAATAAACTTGGTTATTAAGTATGTTTAAAAAGTCCAATATCAATAATACTATGTAAAAAAGGTTAAAATGAATTAAACGATTGAGAACGGACAATAACATAGTATAGACAGGTCGTGTGCTAAATTCCAAAAGCCCCAATGAAGACTAATATATGAAATGAATTACGCCAGCGATTTTTATCACGAATCATCATCATCGGCTTTAATTCACGCCAGTCCACTGTGAGGCCATGGTATCACTACGGTCAGATCGCAGCATGGCACTGATTATCCTGTTGTATTTCAGAACCAGGTGCTAGGTCCAAAATGCAGTAATGGTCAAAATATCACCATCACCGAGGAGTTAGCTACAAAACTGTTGGACGTGACCAATGCGTAAGTGATAAATACATATTAATTACTAGCTTTGTATCTACTCTTACTGCTCCTACTCTATTTTTCTTGTTCTTTTTATTATTTTTGTAACGGTGCAAATAAGTTGTTTTTCTTTCTTTCACTCTTACCACTAGACTGCTTTGAGGGAAATTTTCTTCAAATCTCCAAGAAGTAACGCTACTAATCTATCAATTTTCTCAAAGATATTCGATGTAGAACTAAATCGTAGACTAACAAAATATCTGTGGTATTTCAAATTTTTAAATTAAACAATAAACTTACTGATTACGTCACTACAAAAATTGGGGTAATTAAAAATACCTGGGACACACCCATCCTAGATCTGGCTAAGGCGTTTGACAGTACAAAAATATGTGTTCCATGACGTAACATGATTCTCCCACGTTATTTAATTACACACTTTTGGGTCATTACAGCAAAATAATGATTATATTTTACATTTCAGGATAAGGAGCAAAATAGCCAATGGCAGAGAAGTAGGCAAGGATGGCGAGATGCTACCACGGGGATATGGGATCTTTCGATTGGTACATAATATTATTTCATTACCTTAAGATGTCAAATCGATGTTGTGACCTTACGTTTAAATTTGTATATTCCAGCAATGGGACAACGAGCTGGCAACATTCGCACAAGTGCTGGCCAACCAATGTACCCTACGACATGATCTGTGTCGATCCACCAGTAAGTACTAAACATCTATAATATTTATGATTAGTTGCAGCAGGCCCTATAGTAAATGGTGGGGTCAACTTGACACCCATGATATAAAATTGGCCACAGAAAGCTCTACAAAGAGAGGAGTGGAAGACGAAGGAGGATAGGAAGGCCTTTGTGCTACAGTGGTACGATTACGGGTAAAAACTCAAACGCAGGCTAAAAACACGACTTATTCATTCTAAACTTTTTAAAAATGTTTAACGCTAACACTGTGTCACTTTTTCCAGAAAGATTCCCAGACCCTGGACAAGGAGTCGGTCTCGTGAGATTTTCGTACCCAGATTGGAAGATCATGTCCAGAAAACAGGACCCTCCTGGATTAACTGATTCCAAAATGTCGTATGCCGTCACAGTGACCCTCAAAAATTGGTACTCGCAAAAATCTGATGTCACCGAAAAAATGGTGAAGATGTACCCTGACTATAGTTTGTACGTATTTATTTGATGGAAACTTATAATTTATGTTATTTTAATGAATAAAGTGTTACACAGAGCTACATATCACAGATGTAATAGAACACTATGTTCCGTTTATATGAATCCCATGTAATAAAGGGTCAATCTCATTAACACTATAAGTGGCCACTGCTGACCAAAGACCTCCTCTCACACGAAGAAGGTTTGAGTATTAATCACCACGCTTGCTCAATGCGGGTTGGCTTTCAAACTTATAATTAGAAATGATAAGCCCAGGTTTGCTCACGACGCTTTCCTTCACCGTTTGTCAGTGATGTCTAGATAATCTTAGAAAGTACATTCAGAAAAAGTCACATTGGTAGGTACTTGCCGTTATTGGGTTTCGATCCCGCACTCTCATTTATGAAAAGCGGGCGTCTTAGACCTCCAGACCCCGCGACATTCAACGGTGAGCGTTTTGCAGTATTATATTATACTGCAAAGAGATCACACGTGGCAACTGTTAAGCAAATACTTAACTTTAAGTTCTTTCTTGGCCTTACAGAACACCTAGTTTAGGAGCACCAGGTCGTCTTTACCTAGAGTTGATAAACGGTGGAGCAACACACATGGGCTGCGGGATGTCTGCTTATTCTGAATACATCTATCACAAGGACTCACGTCAAGATGTTTACAACGTAAGTAATCACTGCACATTGTTGTTAAATTACATTGACCATAATTATAACTATAACTAGCTACTTCCGCGCAGTTTCACACGCTCTGCTCAGCTCCTATTGGTCGTAGCGTGATGTTTTATAGCCAATAGCCATCCTCGATAAATGGGCTATCCAACACAAAAATATTTATTAAAATCAGACTTGTGGTTACGAAGATTAGTGCGTTCAAACAAACAAACAAACAAAAAAACAAACTCTTCCGCTTTGTATAATAATACAAGATATAAGATTACTTAGAATTGTATGCCGTTTGCCGACGTCGACTCATTACAAGTATAAAAAACTATACTATATATTTTTTCAGTCTATGATATTAGTATGCAATTATTCTGTACGACCTCGAAAAGGGCGTGAATCTTATATAACGGAGCCACCAGTACCAGGCCAAGGATACAGCTCCCAATGTGGTTGCCCTCCGGGGTCTGAGGAAGATGAGGATTGCCTCTGCAATCTAGTAACAAAGAACGCTGAACGTAAGTAAACTAAGTAATTCTAACTACATAATATTATCACAACCCGACCAAAAATTACCGCGTTCCTACACCTGCTTTGGACTGAAGACCCCGTCACCCGCAGAATCATCTGAGGCCTTTTCTATGGTGATCTGATAGCTCTTTGAAAGCGAACGGAACGCGACGTGCTGAAAATCAATTCGATGGGGACGAAGTTGCTCGCACAAACTAATCTATACAGATGAATAAAATTGAACTCTCTGTTTGTAATATTAAAATAACCGCTTTTTACTACGTATAAGGGGGGGGGGATCATCGGCGAAAAGAGGTTAACAAACCTCCATTGCACCGACGACATAGTACTCTTCTCTTTTTCAGCAGCTGAGCTAGGTAAATGAAACAAAACAAAAACTATGTTCCAAAATTCATATTCTACGTGGATGAAACTAGCGCACTGAAACTGTTATTTATTATTTTATTTTTAACCATGATCGTCCCACTGCAGGGCAAAGGCCTGCACTGAAACTGGCGTATAATAATATAAAAGTTCTTGTTCGTAGGTAAATCCCCAGAAAAGTGCAACAGCCTTGATGGCAAGGGATGCGAGCCGACCTTGGTTCTATTGCCTATATTCACAATGGAAGAAACACCCTCTGACAAATTATTCGAACAAGCAGAAAGTATCAGAGACCCGTTGAAGGATTTTATATTACAAAGGTAAAAACTAAATAATGGCATGTACAAAGTAACATTGGACTTTCAACTGAAAATAATGTTACACGAGCTTTGAACTGAATGCTCAATGATAATAATAATTATCGATGCATGAGCATGTAACGATTGCACCCTGTCAGGATGACATAACATCATAACACGGTGTTACACTTTTTCATACTCAAAGAAGTAGGCTTAAAAATGTTTATCATCATAGGGTTATTTATTTAATGTTCCATTTTGTGTGCCTCGTTGGCCGAGTGGTCGCAAGTGCGACTGCCGTGCAAGGGGTCTCGGGTTCGATTACCGGGTCGGGCAGAGTATTACTGGGTTTTTAAAAAAAATCTCAGTAGTAGCACGGAGTCTGGAATTGGACCCGGTATATGGCAATAGGCTCACCCCCTATTACATGGGACTCATTACATAAATAGTGAAAAGTAGGTGTTACTTCTGTGTGCATCTCTGCCTACCTACTGTTAAGTATGTTATATTTGTCCATTTTGTCAACAGAATGGACAACTCCAGTGGCGCTCAAAGAATGAGAGAAGCTCAAAATAATATGTTTGACGTTTTTACTCCTCGACCAAGGACAAAACAGGTAGGTTATGCTACCAACAAATATTTTTTATGAACAAAGAAAAGAAAAATTTTCTAAAATGGCGATACGATTTTGTCTCATCGTTTTCTTTTACTACGTTGCCCCACTACCTACTACTACCTATACTAGTATTTTCTCCTGTGTCGTGGGTCCGTTTACAAACATACAAGTTCCCATACATATAACACCCAGACCCGGAACAACAATCTGTGGATAACTCAAAGAATTGTTCCGTGCAGGTGACAGAGCAACTGGCTGCCGTGCAATGTGTCGCGGGTTCAAATAATTAAGCCATCGCGAGACTGATTGCTTACCATGAGGCATTCCGTATGTAGGTTGCCGTACTATAGTTACTATCCCATAAAAAAATAATGAAATTTTTGTTTACAGAATATTCAACAAAATGTACTAAGATCAAATTCAGCCAGACCAACAGTGAACCAAAAATTACAACAGTCATCTAATGTGTAAGGTTTTGATTTTTAATATCCAGCATATCCATAGACGAAAGAATTCTATAAAAAGTTATATAGAATACTAGCTGTGCCCGCGACTTCGTTCGCATAGAATAGTGATTTACTGCGCTTACCCCGTAGGTGATAGCGTAATAATATGTAGCCTATATGTTACCCGACCTGTTAGTAACAATCATACAAAGTTTGAAGTAAATCCATGCAGTATTTTTTGAGATCATCCCGAACATAAATACAGACAAACAGACAAAAACCATATTTTTGGCTTCAGTATCGACTGTACATCACACCCCAAGTATTATTTTTTAAAAATATGTATAGTTTCGATCTTCGATATCTTATCTACGATTTTATTATATGTACCTCATATTGTATAGGTATAGATAAAAATGACTATTTTAAGAATGAAAGGTCCTATATTTTGCTTTACGACGAGTTTTTTAAATCAAAATACGTTTTTAATCCCCTCCATGGCCTCTGGAATGAATTACTGATATTAAGAAACAAAACGTAATTCTGTCTAGCGCTTTCTGTTATATATATTGTTATATATGGCGCGATGGTTGTCAAGCTGGTCAAGCTGTCATGTGGAGTTGTTAATATAATTCATGGTTTATTTTACAGTATATACAGAATGCCAGCAGCACCACCTGCGTTTCCACCAACGGAAGATCCTCCTCTTCCCCCTCCAAGAGTACCACCACCGCCGCCTTCATTACCACTACCTCCACCGCCGCCTCCACTACCACCTCCTCCTCTGCCGCCTCCACGTCTAGCTCGCAGCCACCACAAAACTCGTGCACCACCCCCAATCCCACCACGACCACCACCACGCAAGCCGTACCACGCCCGTACTTCACCAAACCGAGACTACACACCAGCTCTAAGAGCACATGATTCACAACCTATAGATGCCATACACTCTGATGATGAGTTCGATCCACCAAAGATAGGACCACCCCCAATACCACCGAGACTATCCCACAGACAAGTGACGAAGGTTTCAATTTTAATAAAAATAATATTAAAAAATTGATCTTTTTAATAACACATCAATTTAATAAACTAATCAATAATTCACTTTTTCAGAAATCTAGCATATTCACAAAAGTAGCACAATTCAAGTTACCAGCTAGAAAAAGCATGGTGTCCCCATTTGTAACAGCAAAAAAAGATGTTCAACCACGAAAAGATTTTTCTAATTTACATAAAGAAGTCGATGAATATCTTAAACGTCAACGGTTTACGTACAGAAGGGATGGAAATAATGATGTTCATTCAGAAGTTATTACTACAGATTTAGAAACACCACACACAAGCGTACACGCAGATGAAATAACAACTGAAATAATTTTAAAGACTGCTGAAGAAAAAGTTATTAATTTCAATCAGTACTTAAAGGAAAAGAAGTACAATATGGATAATCGCACACTAGACGTGATAGTTAAAGATGAAAATGACAAAGACAACAAGCTACTGTCTCTTCTCAATACGTTGGAGAAAGAAGTGAAACATATTGCACTTGACGGCAACGAAAAAGAATTGTTTGATGCAAAAATTAGAAAAATTTACGGATCTATCGTAGGCACCACTGACACAACATTACTTTCACCTGTTACTACAAACGCTTATGATTCAGATATTGCCGAAATCGACATTGGTAACTCGAAGAATTCTGGAAAGCACGAAGTTGTCAATTTCACTGAAGACGAAAAACGTCCACATGAAATAAGAAAAAGCAGTGTACCTCCCAAAGAAGATGCACAAATGGGTCATACAAAGAATTATGATTACTTAGTACACTCAAGGAAAGAAAAGTTTAATTATGATTTGCTACATAAAAAGTACAATAATAACTTAGATGAAAATGTTTTCAGTGATACGGAAGGCAAACATGATGTTTACGATCATAACAAACATAGTTACAATTATGGTCATAAATATGAATCCGATGCGGAACAAAAATACATGGACGAATTTGAAAATAAATATAACGAAAATCTGGATCATAATAAGTACAGTGAAAACAATTTAGATCGCAAATTTGATATAAGGCATAAATATATTGAAAATGACAATATGAATCATAAGTTTAACGAAATCTTACCAGTTCATAAGAACTTATTATTAAAGTATGCAGGGAAAGATTTCAATGAATTCAGAGAATTTAAACATAATTCCTTAACTTCAATGGAAGATAATGCAATTAGACACAGTAATTTACTGAAATTTAGGAACAGAGATTTAATAAAAGGTAGCCATGATCGTCAAGACAGGGATGGTCACAGAAGCAAAGAACCCGACAGGAAGCATAGAGATAAAATAGAAGTAAAAAGAAACAAAATATATCATTACCGCGATGACGATATAAATGATCCGTTAAGTTTAGAAAGAAGAAAATATTATCAAGATAAGTTAGAAAACATTGAAAAAAGACTTCGTTCAAGTTCAAGAAATGGTAGACACAAGAACGACGTAAGTGTTTTAATTGACTATTCCTTACACCATTACTGAAGGCCAAATTTAGTTAATTATAAATTTTAAATAATCGACATCTATTTAATGATGAACTTATAAGAAACTTATAAGAAACTGGCTCATGTAAGAGGATTTTACCACATTCTAACGTCTGTATTTCTCGAAGGATGTCCTCTAGGTCTCAGTTAATAGGTGACTTATAGGCTGTGCTCCATCGTAGGCTACAACATCGCTTACTATAGAGATATTATTGGCGACATAGTAGCCAAACGCCGACCATTGACCATTACATATAAAATGTTTGATTTCAATTATCCCATAAAAGCGTATTATCAGAAAGCAACCTACGTAATACCATTAGACATTATAACTAATCCAATTTGATTTGATTTGAAATAATAAAATTTATAATTTCAGCATGGAGGCGATAGACAAATGCGTCGAATGAAATCGGGTATAACAAGAACAAGATCCAAATCCGACAACATCTACATTCCGTCGAGTGGAAGATTTATACACTCATTCTGAAAAGAAGATAATTATACAAACCTATAACTAGAATAAAAATCTATAAATAGGGGATAACTAGCAAGACTCCAAATTGCAAATAGATAGACGTGATTAATCGTTGGTCGCATCATCGCTGGCGAGATGGTAGCAAAACGCTCCAACAAAACGTAAAACCAAACGTTAGCCTAACTGACAGTGCCGTGGAGGACTTAACGGGTTGGCGGGGCTGCTATTCGAAGAGTAGAAATAGGAACGGTGTGGTTTTAGTCAGTAAGAGTCAGACACGCCCTCTCGCCTAACCCAAGGCGGGATCAACCAAAACCATTGGATAACTTCCCCCTTCTAAAAAAGCATAAGTGACAGTGACACATTTCCTTTTGTGAAGGATATGTCAAATTATTTTTCTTCATGAAGGCAGACGCTCTCGTTTATCGAGTGTCCATGGGCGAAGCTAGGCAATGCTTGATTGTTTACTATCTGGTTATCTATAGGTCCATTAACCTCTCACATTAAATAATATATTGTTGACTATTACTTAGTGCTTAGCCATTAATTAATGATATAAGTTTGTAGAATACATTCAAATACTTAGATAATATAATTATTATATACAGTTTTTAAATATAACCTATCGTTATAGTTTTTAGAATAATTATTAGAAACATAAATAAGGCTGTACAAACATTTTGTTACATTACAATTTTAAGTTTATACAAATAAATGATTTAAAAAATACTGTGTCATAATTTTTTATTATAATGCATATTATATTATCTAATATACAACATAAAAAATATTAAGAACGGCTATCAACAACAATCTCTTTAAATGATCAAAAAACAAAAATGGCCGACTTCTAATAAAAAATGGAACATAATCAACTAAATTCCTTTATCAGTAATATAAAAAGAAAACAAAGACGTTAAAACTCTTGTACAAACATTTTGTCCTATTTACAAAAGAAAAATATAAGAAAAAAAACGCGTTTCCGTTTGACAAAAAGAATATCGTTCGGTTAATGTGTTTAGAACGGTACTCGAAGCGATAAAATGCAGAGCTGACATAAAAAAGCGTCAAAATTATGAAGGAACGAACATTCTAGAAAACCACATGCCTTGAGAGGAACTAATTAGAAATACAGGTACAAAAATAAATAAGAAACCAAATATCAAAAATAAAAAATAGAACAGACAAAAGAAGGACAAGAAAAATGTTTTGTAAAAAGAAAAATACAATGAAATGATAACCTAGTAAACGCTAAATAAAATTAAACCGTTAAAGAAAATTGAACTCTACACAGAAGTGATTTAAGATCAGACAATAAAAGCAGTTGTTAATAAATTCAATACTAATGAAAGTTATTATTTTGGAGAATTAAATCAACAAGGACAATAGTGATTTATTAATGAAAAGTATATTAAAACTGTTCCTGAGACAAGTTCAAGATGATCGTATACGTAAGTACTCCTTTGATATTATTAAAGCTAACGCTTTATAAAAACAAAATGTACATATCTATCTACATAAATAAAAATAAATTTCCGTTCGTTACTCTCGCTAAAACTCGAGAACGGCTGAACCGATTTAGCTTATTTTGGTCTTGAAAATGTTCGTGGAAATCCAGGAAAGATTTAAAAGTCGAGATAAAATTTTAAGGCAGAACAAAGTTTGCTAGGGCAACTAGTACCTATATTAATAAAAATGAATTTCCTTAGTAGGCCCTCAGGGGTAAATATATTTCAAACGTCATTGCTTATGTGCATCCAGAAGCAATGACGTTTACTTCCGACCAGTCTATCTGAAAGTTTTTTTTGAGGGGAGGAAATCATCCAATGACTTCTCCCGCCCCGGTGAGGCGTGAGGGAGTGTCAGACTCTTACTGACTAAAAACCACCCCGTTCCTACTCCTTTACTTTGAGCCAGAGCCCCGGCAACCCGTTAAGCCCTCCGCGGCTCCGTATCGGCATCAGCCCTATTGGGCCCCATCTGTGGTGGTCTGACGGCTCTATGAGGCCGCGCGGAACGCGATGCGCCGCTCGGGTCTGGTTCTGGTCGGGCGGCCTGTCAGCCGTACTCGCTGCCCGCAGGCCCATGGTTACAGTGATCGGAGATCATCTCGCGATCCCCGATGCCCAGAGTGAGGCTGGGGCGAGAGGAGATTTGTTCTCCCTCACAGGCCCCGCCTCCTTAACTCGTCGAGTACCGGTTTTATAGACACAATTAAAGAACAATAGGTCGCAGTCACCGGTGACCGCTTGGTGTTTGACAGTTTAAGCCACTCTTCAAAGAGGGGACTTACCGCTGCAATGACAGAGACCCCAATTGGAGGATGCCTGTCATAATAATAAGGAAGATTATGAAAGACAAACCAATAATAGATGTAAGAGATTATTTTGTTTATTTCCAGCCATGATCGTTGCACTGCAGGGCAAAGGCCTTCCTACCCTCCTTCCACTCCTCTCTATGCAAAGCTTTTTGCGGCCAATCCTTGTCATAGATGTCAAGTTCGTCCCGCCATCTCTGATTGGGTCTGCCACGACGTGTATTGACGTGTACTAATCTATAATAATCATTTCAGATGCAGATCATACAGCTAGTACTGATTCTCGCTTTAGTGTACTTATCAAGATGCTCTCAAGTGATAGACTCCAGGTCACAGAATGCACTGTACGTGGCCAACTACTGTCCAGCCATGAAACACTGTCTAGAAGGCACCCATGTCATGTGCATGTATTATAACCCTGTAAGTGATAACACAATGTCTATTGTCTAATTCGCACCATACTAGTATTTTAATCCAGTAGCGAGTAAATTGACTGTCTCGTTGGCCGAGTGGTCGCAAGTGCGACTGCCGGGCAAGGGGTCTCGGGTTTGATTCTCGGGTCGGGCAAAGTATTACTGGGGTTTTTAAAAATTCTCAGTAGTAGCACGGAGTCTGGAATTGTGCCCGGTATATGGCAATAGGCTCACCCCCTATTACATGGGACTCATAACATAAATAGTGAATAGTGGGTGTTACATTGCACAGTGGTATAATGTGCGCATCTCTGCCTACCCTTTCGGGGATAAAAGGCGTGATGTTATGTTATATGTATGTTGTAGTGAGTATAATAAAAATCTCCCAATTGATTTCGATCATGGTGGAAAGACTAAGAGACTAGCTCACTACGTAGTAGATATTATAGTGCACAAGTGTGTGCGCAAACACAAGTGCACTCTCTGTTCCCCTCACTCTCTGAACCCGATAGGACGGCAGACACGACCGGAGAGAGATCAGACGCAGAACTAACGGCTTTACATACTTCTCGAGGCACGAGGGTAAAATCACCGCATAACTTCCTGACTCTGGGCTAATGGTCATTTTACTCAGAAAATATCACTTTTCGAATTAACCCTGCCACGTTGCACAGCCCGTCACCCAACCACTGGGCTAACCGTGCAGACGCAAGTAATTTAGTAGCTGTTGTATTTTTAATTAAAACTTTTTTAAAGCGCGTTTAGTGGTCTGAATGGTTGGTTGAGTTGAAGCAGCCAATCATAGAGCCAAACGACATAAACGCATCGATCACGTTAACGTAAAAAAATCTCGCACTACACTCTCAGTCATGTAGAGATTTCTTGATAAATTACATAGTAAAACTATTTTTGACAGGAGCAAACAATGGGCCCACTGTGTAGAAACTACGTGACAGTCACAATCACCCCGCAAATGGTTCACCAGATACTTAAAGAAGTTAACGAGTAAGTGTTTTTTTATTTATTTATTGGTAATTATCTAAGTCTGGCTAATAACTAATCGAGTTCCTCGTCAAATTATTACGTGAGTAAGCCGAAAACATAATAATTTATTTAGTATGTCTCATGAAAGTTACAATACAAATAAATTCACGTTTCGCCAGTCATCTTATAAGTCCCAATTCATAAAGGTTGAATCTATATGTAGAAATAGAAATACTAAACCAGGTCGCTACTGAAAATTAAGTCGATAAACAATTATCCATCGGACTTGGAGCCCGAGTAGACTTCTTCATGATTTGCACCTTCAACCATTTCAATTATCACTTTGACTTTCTATTTCAATGCGTCATTTATTACAGCGCCACCAAAATTATTATTATAATCCACAATTAACCTTGATACCACCGCCATCTAGTAGTAGCCTCTGAAAGTTTTAATCATAATGCACGGTTTCTATTTACAGCATAAGAATGAGGGTTGCCTCCGGAAAGGAGACTGGGAAAGATGGGCATCCCCTGCCAAGAGCATATGGAATGATGAAATTGGTATTCCATATTATTATAACGTTAATACTTACTATAGAATAAGAATGAGAATTAAGATACATTCTTAATTCTTATTATCCAATAGAAAATCACACCATTTTTACTAACTTCATTGATACCTCCAGACGTTAAAAAAGCTATAATAATGGTTAGGACCAATGAGAGGATTTTCCTGACATTACGCACCTTATCCAGAAGTACTGCTTTCTGCATCAGGCCCTTGACCCAACCATCAAACGTTAATCTCTTCAGACGTTGGTCGATGCTTTTAGCCATAAGGTTATTGGCAGATAAATAAAGTCTATTTAGTCCGATGCCCGACAGGGACTATAGCCAACTAAAGGTTACAGGTACTCTGGCTCGAAGAAGAAGTTGGATCGGGGTAGTTATTAGTCAGTAAGAAGAAATGCCTAGTAATCATTATAATACAAATCATGCAATGCCTGCTTCCACCTCATTCAGGGCGAGAGGAGGTATCGAATGCTATTTTCCCCTCAAACAAAAAGAAACAATCATATCCTTATAATAAAGTAGGTATTTCTATTGTGACCTCTTCACAGTTCTGGGACAGTGAACTTGCGACATTGGCACAAGTGCTAGCTGATCAGTGTATGGGACTGAAAGAGGATGAATGCAGAGCTACTGGTAAGAAACTGATCGCTTTGTTTAATAATATTAAACCCTAAAAAAGATAGTATAGGTAAGGTATCGAACAAAATTATTATTTCGAAATCT